TCACGGGAAAGATAGTCTCTCCCGAAAAGATAGTTTTATTTTAATTTACTTGCTATTTATAATATTATGTATATATTTATATTTATATAGGTGTAGTGTATCAACTATCTGGTATCCATAGCCTCGCAGCTTACCATGGAACTAGATGGTGCTGTGTGTTAATGTGCCAACATATTTATTTTAAGAATCACTATCTAGACATTACTTAGATTCTCAGCGAAAACGGAAGTAAAAAAGCTACGTGCTTCTCTTTTTTACTTCGCAAAGAAACTACGTAGGAATTTAAGCAAAATGAACTAACTAATCAGTATTATTATAATAGGATTTTTTTAAATGCTTTGCAAATTTTTATTAAAAAGAACATTTCTAGAGTATGTTTTAGTTCACATCTTTTATATAAATGTGCAATTGTAAAAATACTATTAAATTAACCTAAAAATGCCACCGAAAATATGTTGGTCTCTTGCCAACTCATTATCCTTATATTTGTTCAGGATTATCATTACACTCGTCTTGTCTACTTTGGGTTCTAATATACGCTTTATCTTTCAATTTATGGCGGTCTTTGGATACTTGGGATATTGTCCCTTCTGTTCGATACAAAAACAAAATCTATAGACATTATAATTCTGTGGGCATACAAAGGATTATATTATGATATATGACACAAGTATGCTTTATATTATTATATTTACATATACGTAAACATGGAAAATCAAGCCACATTTTTTTTATTTACAAAGCATTTACTTTGTTTGTTCTACTATATCCTTAGCCTGGGATCGTCTTCCAATGGGTATGTGTAATATTTGCCATTTTATTTTGGTAGAATCCTATGTAAATTACAAGCGTTTTATTTCTAATGATCCTGTAAATGCTGTCAAGCACAAAAAGATCACTTCTCATTACGTTATACGTCATAACTGGGAAAGTACATAATTATAGGGATATATCAGAGGTGTGAGCCTCGGGATTTGAACCCGCTAGTTAGTTTCTAACAAAAGCGCGTTACCACTAGGCTACTACTGCCCTACAGTTTTTTTATTTACTCGTATTAAAAAATAATATCTTATTTCGTATTTTTTATTGTTAAAATAACAATATTACATTTTTTTTATAAGTAGAGATGTCCTTAAGCACATCCTTAACTATAACATCTGTGCTTGACATTTCAGTTAATTATACTATGAGTATTGAGTAATCATTTAGTACTATTTATATAAGAATTGAAGTCGCAATCTATTCTTGGGACTTAGACTGATGGCATGTTACAATCATTTACGAATTAAAATATAATGAAATATGTAGATGAAGATGACCTATTTAAAACATTTTAACTGGTCATCATAATACAATTTGTACGATTATAGAATTTCATCTTTTCTAAGTCATTGCGTGAAACAGTTAAAATTAATTGTTAAAACTTACAAATTTGTCACTATTTCAAGAACATGAATCAACATATTTATGTACTTTTCTACTTTAACTTGACTCGAGATGCTTACGAAGTTAAACCTACAAGCTCTCGTGTGGTTTGTTTGCTTGTTAAGCTTATTTTTGAACGAGTAACATTTGCTACAAACTTATTGTACAGAATATTGTTATTTTAAATATCGCTATCTTTGTTTGTATGCTTACTTTCTATTTATAAAATTGTATTTAAACTTAATATTTCTAATATAATAATTAATAATTTACATAATTTAAAATATTCTCTTTGTAACTTTATATAGAGTAATTTATGTCAAAAATCCTTTTTTTTCAATTTAACGTATCTGTTTATTTGTGCATACAAATAGCTGTACAGATTTTAATAGTATTTGTTAAATTTACATCTATAGCAAATTAAAGGAATGCCTGTAATAAATTGATTAAACTCGTCTTAGATTGGATTTTTATTATAATAACTAGCGACTTACCCTCGCTGCGTTCGGGTTCATCTAGTCATGTGTTAGGGCCAAGTTTAATTATTGAGTCTTTTTGTATATTAAGCCTCAGTAACAGCCCGGAGTTGGGAAGTTGGCGGTGTTTCACCCCCGTGCCTCGGAGAGCACGTAAAGCCATCGGTCCTGCGCCTTAACTCTCACTGGTCGTGTCGAGTGGTCATCCTACCAGAGTATGAGAGTGACAGGAATAGAGAGTGCACTTGTGTCTGCGCGTATACTTGTGCACTATAATATTTCCTGCGCAGTTGGCTAATCTGAATGAGATTGGCCGCCGTGGCCGGAATCAGTCAGGAGAACATCATCATGATTAATAGTAACTTTATCAAATTGTCAATTGTATTGTAATTAAAAATATATTGTAACGAAACCTCAATTAATTATGTTTTACTATTACAATAGTTATTGTTAGTCCAAACATTGCTATCAACGTCCGCTCTATTTGACTGATTTTCATAATGACAAATTACCAGCTCGAATATGCAGTCAATTATGCGTAGCGTATTCTATAACTAGCATTGCCCGCGGCTCCGCCCGCGTTCATATGACCAAAATCAAATTCTTAGGTTTTATATATTAGTATACTCGTATTAGTAACACGGGTGGGGCCGCGGATAATTTAGTAGTAATTCTAATAAAACCATAGAAAGGTCAAATTAGTACATTCAATTTTTTGGAATTAAAACTACGTATTGTAAAGACACATGGCGACATCTATTGACAAATATCTAAATAATACAAAAATAAATATTCATTAAAATAATTTTTAATGAATAAAATAGAGCTATTGATATACTTTTTCAAGATTAGCTATTTTTAATAGTTTTTGACATATTTAGTAAGTTAACTTGCTAAAATCTATATAGTATCATCGTTTTTTTGTTCTAACCAGTTGTTGTATTTTTTCTGAGAAATGAGATATTTTTCTGCAGTAAAAAGTATCCTATATATTGACCCGGATAATCAGCTATGACCATACCAAATTTCATCAAAATCCGTCTAGTAGTTTTTCTGTGGTGCGGTAACAGACAGACAGACAAAAATTCTAAAAACTATAGATTCGGGCTCTGTATCGATAATAATGTCTATTTCAATAAGATTTTCTAAAAAATATTAATTGTACAGATTTGACTTAGTTACAATTTTATTATATGTATAGGTTACATGCATGGTTTATTCTATTGTTTTATTTAGATTATGCCATTTTAACCGACATTCTAAAAAGAGGAGGCTATGTAGGTTTCATATATAAAGTCTGAGTCAGACTCTATAGTCACTATAGCTCGATCTCAGTAGCTTTGGCAGTCCTGCTATAATGAAACTACTCGTAATATTGTATACCCATGTTTTGATAGATTAATGTGTTGACTAGTCGGTACTTGTTGGCAGATGTTAGCAAGAGTAAATAAATTATGGCAATATTTTTATACTTTTCATTACGACTGACTACAGACAGTGATTAATTAACTCCAATAATAATTCTAGATAGGCAGTGGTAGAGCAGTGGTATCGCGCTCGCTTGGGAAACGGAGTGAAGCGGGTTCAAATCCCGGGTCTCGCACGTCTGATATTTCATGTGCGAATCATTTCTAAAATGATTATCACTTGCCTTACGGTGAAGGAAAACATCGTGAGGAAACTAAACTGCATGTCTGAGAAAACCTAGCAAGTTTTGGAAAGACCTGTGAAGTCCGCCAACCCGCACTTGAGGCCCGTGCCCAACAGTGCGACATTAAAAAGGGCTGAATACAGAATAATAATACAATGTTTTTAGTAGTATAATATTATACAAAATCATGCTCATAGGAAAAATCATAGGAAACTAAAATAATATTACACTATTATATAAGAAACTTAGTTCTATTACTTAATATTCTTAATAAATAACAATCTAGATAGAATTATTAGTAGCAATCGAATTTTGCAATTACTAATACTTTATTATTATATCTACCAAAAGGAATGACAATCTGCATCTATACATAAAATAAAATTCTGAATCCAATCTGTACATTAAATATTTTTTAGAAAGTCTTGAATTAGTCATTATTATCGATAGAGAGGCCGAATCTATCGTTTTTAGAATTTTTGTCTGTCTGTCTGGGTGAGCATCACGAGAAATGCACTGGACAGATTTTGATGAAATTTGGTATGATAATAGCTGGCTAACCGGATCAACATATAGGATACTTTCACTACTGGAAAATATCCCATCTCTGAGAAGTCTATATTAACCGTTAAAACGTATCTAGTAAATCGTCTCCGTATACGTCGTAGTCTCTAATAAAGATATTCGTATACATAATATCATATATATTTGTTCATAAACGTATTTAAAAAATATAAATACGCTTATCAACTACAAAAACTGAAACTATTACAAAATTACTTTAAAAGATTGTAAAAATTACACCCCAAACAATGAAACATGCGCTCATTCCTGTTCAATTTGAATGGAAATAAGGGTAATTCATACCTATTATTTAAAAAAACACGATAAGCTTTTAACAATTGGCGAAAATTTGTTTTTTTAATGAGTATGTGACACACAATATTTATCGTCCGTGTTTTTTTTTGTTCTTCGTATTTAATTTGCTGTTATTTTGTTTCTCTTTAATGTAAATGTATACTGACTCTATGTATATAGACTCTTGCATATTTAAGAATTGTGAATTTTGTGAATAGTGTTCACTTTTTTAGTTCAGTTATGTCCACAAAACTAAACAACATATAACCGAATTGAGTGCTCCCTTTAGAAAGCTGCTGAAAATATTAATCCTTGTTATATGTATGTTTTACTTCTGAAGTTAATAAGCTTCTATGATTACCTCCAAGGTAAATCATCTAATGTTATTTATTTTCCCTTAATAAGATGTAATTACAGGGCTGTAAAATTTCATACATATGTATAGCTATATCTTAATCAGATTTATTTATTTATGCCGGCAAGTGTTCGAGAAATACATTATTAAAAGCTAAAGCTACTAAAAGATTGTAAAATGTAAGTCTATTATAATTTTTTACTAACATAAACGATTTTTGTTAACAGTGTACAGCATGGAAGATGTTTGGGTGGAGCTACGGGCCCCGCGGTTTGTCGTACACGGCCACAGCGCCGTGCTACGATGTGAGCACAACGTTGACGCCCAAACTTTATATAAGGTATTCCGAAGTTATATGTATAATAAGGTATTATTTACTAAAACTATCTAGAATTTAGTATTCATATGAAAAACTTAATTAGAAGATATTATTGGTACAAGCGTTAGTTTTTTCTTCATTTAGGCAGCAATAGATTGTTTCAAAGAGGCTGTTTTGCATAGAGGTAGGTTCATCCCATAGGATGGACTTTATTCTAGTTCGTCATATATTTAGTGCGCGTTCTGAGAAACTTGAATACTCATATAAAGACGAGCCTAAGCAAAGTAAGGTTATCAGGAATACTATAAATATAGGTAATGATGACAAACTTGTAATATTCTCCTATGCCCCTTTCTTACTTTCACTCTCTTCCATATAGTCATTTTATACGTAAATTACAAAAAATCATGATATTTTTTTGGGATCTTTAACAAAGTGTTAAGCTCATATTTTACATAATAAATTAATAATATACGCTATTTACATTTTATGATGAAAACAAAAATTTTATTTCATCGTTTCTGGAAAATTTATTTACGTGGAATTGATGTTGAAAAATAAAACATTTTATCACAGTAATTGCTTTTTCGATTGAGATAAGAAGAAATTTTATTTCACGTTTACATAATGATACGCTGAGATAATTTTTAGAGAATTTGTTTACAGATAGTCGTTTTATTTTTATCCTATATCTTTAAACAAGCGATTCTTGTATATATATATATATATCGGAAACGGCTCCAACGATTTTCATAAAATTTAGTATACAGGAGGTTTCGGGGGCGATAAATCGATCTAGATTAGTCTTATATTTGAGAAAACGCGTGTTTCGAGTTTTCATGCAGTTTTCTTCTGCATTATTCCACGCAAAATATGATCGGTAATTTGCACGCTCGGGCATAAGCATCGTGGTCAAGCGGCCAAGGTGCAAAATCAACAATTACAAGATGTCCAGGTTCGAATCTCGGTCGCATACAAAGTTTTTACTTTTGTTTTTTTTTTTAATATTTATTCAAGTTTTTATTAAAAAAAAAAGAAAATTGTACTTTAGGCCAAAAACTCCGAGCGAAGCTCGGTAGCCCAGGTACTATATATTATATATTACAAAGTAGTAATAGTAGTATTCAGACCTCTTTAACGTCCCACTGCTGGGCACGGGCATTTCTCTCAGACATGCAGGTTTCCTCACAATGTTTTCCTTCATCATAACGCAAGCGGTAATCATGTTAGAAATGATTAGCACGTGAAAATCAGAGGTGTGAGACCCGGTAATGAACCCGCTTCTCTCGGTTTCCCAAGCGAGGGCGTTACCACTGCCTTTACAAAACTGTATGTATAATAACTCGGTATAACATTGCCGTTTTATATTGTAAATTTTAATTATAAGTCAATACTTCGTAAAAATTAGTGTCGCGCATGTGAGTCTTTATTATTAATATTTTTTTAAATTATAAATTTTATATTTTTACAATAATTACAAAAAAAACGTATAATAATTATTACTTTTAAAACATGAATATTTATCACTAATAATTTTACATAATTATTATACTTATATTTTGATTTGTTTAATTTGATTGCGGTATCTGCCACAGCGCCAAAAAAGTTTTACTTGAACCGCGGTTAATTTACGCACTCATTTTTTTTTCATTTTTGAGCAGGGCTGTCTATTCATACATAATTTTTCTCACTTAAATGTTAAGTGCAAAAAATTAAAGTTATGCTATTATCGCATGATAATGATACAAAATTATACAATGTTTTAAATTCAAGACATTGTCTTTATAGAAAATCTATATGTATTCAAAGTTTTATTAAAACTAATTCAACAGTTTTCACGTATAGTTAGCTCCAAACAAACAAAACGTCTTCACAAACTTTCTCATATTATACAATACCAAAAGGATTCTTAATGTGAAACCAATATTTATCTACATTACTTCAACGATAAAAATAGGATACTATTTTGTAAAATTGTGAAGTCGTAGGTTTGTACGGTAGCGGAAATAAGTAATACAAATGCTATGAACGGTATCAGTGGAGCACGATAAGCGGAACGCGAAGTATATCGCCTGTCAGAGTCAGTTCGTAGCCTTCGTAGCACAGTTAGGCGTAGCTTATAGTCCTATTAAATTGTTGGAATGCAATATTTATCTTTGAATTAAAATGTCTTAAATATCTTTTAAAATAATCGTTTTTCTATGTAATTATGAAATAAATATGTTTTAAAAGATTTGTAAAAATTTTAATTCACTAATACTATAAATATTATAAGTGCAAAAGTTTGGATAAATGGATGTTTGTTACTCAATCACGCCAAAAATGCTGAATGGATCTAGATGAAATTTGGCACAGATATTATCGTCTGTAATAGCACATAGGTTACTTTTTATCCCGGTATACAGTTCCCGTGGGATAGTTTTGTAAAATAAAGTTTAATCTAATATATCTTTCTATTTTTTCATACCAATATATCATAATTTATGTGGTTTCTGTTGGCAACTTCGCAATTAAAAAATGGAACGATTACCTTAAGACTTAGCAGATGTCAGAGTGAGTTCGTAGCTTTCGTAGCGCTGTTAGGTGTAGCTTATAGCCCTACTAAATTGTTTAAATCAGTATTTATCTTTTAAATAATAAAAATAATAGATTTTTCTAAAAAACTTTTCTTTCAAAATAAATATTTTTAAAAGTTTGTAATAATTTGAAATCCTTAATAATGAGAATAAAGCTTAACATACCATCTAATAAAATATAGCATTCGATATTTTCCATACCAATAAATCATATGTGATTTCTGTAACTACTTCGAAATCCAAAAATAGAATTGATTACCTTAGATAGTAGATGCCAGGGTCAGTTCGTAGCTTTCGTAGCGCTGTAGGCATAGCTTATAATATAATATACCTTTATTAAATTAGATTGCATTTCTTATCATGGAATTGTATTAAAATAGTTGTTTTTTCGTTGTAATGATGAATTAAAAAACTTTTGAAACATTTTCTTTGTAATTTTTTAAATTTAAATTAGAATACAGTTTTAGATGCCACAAAAATACGCATAACGAATAAGACTATTAAAGCTTTATAAACTCTAAATTATAACTTTAATATTGTAATCAATTAATTGATTAATTAATTATACCTTTAAGGTTTTACAGCTCAAATAATTTAAGCAATAAATTGTACCATATTACACTTACCTCCCTGTATTTACTAATTATCGTGTATTTATAAGTAAAAGTGAATGTTTCTTCGTATGTTTGTCATTTATGTATTTCTAAACCATTTATCCGATTTTGATGAAACTTTAAAGAGTTGTTCGGTCTATTTAAGCTCGCAAAAATTCCTCGATTAAAAAATTTATACGCAGACAGACTTTCCACCATACACCTCTATTATATATTAGGTATCTATATTTGACCGTAAAAAATAAAGGCTATTTAATCAAGCAAAATTCAAACGCGGAATGGATTTGAAGTGAGCTCAAGTAGTAAACACTAAGCTAAATCAAAACTCGACCCTCGTTCTACGCGCATTATACAGACATGGGTGCCTACTATAATATTACAGATAATTTCACAATGACTGGATAATGATGACTTTGGTCTAGTGGTTAGCATGTATGGCAGCAGATTGAGAAGTATTGAGATCCTAGTTCTGTCAGGTTTATCTGTCAGGAAATCAGTATCAGCTTGGAATTCGAAAATTGGTAGTGTTTACACTCTTATGTCTCAGAAAGCATATTAAACCCTGCTTCCGATCTCTCACCAATCTTACCGAATTGTCGTCCCATTGGAGTATAGAAGTTAAAGGAACAGAAAGTATATTTGTGTACAGCGCATACACTTGTGCACTGTATTTCCCGAGCATTTGTTTAATCAATCTCAGTGAGATTGACTACCGTAAAAGAAATCAGTTGTTTGAACTTTTTATTAGAATTTACTTAGAGATATGTACATACAAACAAAGCCGCAGGAAGAAGCTAGCAGTTAAGTATAATAAAAAATATTCCAGAAAAAATGCAAAAAGAACGTGTATTTTCAATCCTTTACAAAACGATTAAACGAAAAAAAACTACAATTCCATGTCAACTTAATTAAAAAGTCTCTCTGAAGCAATTCGCGGGAAATGTCGAAACTGAAACTGCAAATATCCAGACTGACGGCGAAGTTCATTTATTTTTAAAGCACCCGCCTGATAGTGTTTTGAATGAATTAAATAGAATTTGTTTCGAACAATGCAACTGAATGGTTAAATGTGTTCAATTCGATTCTGAGTTTTGAAATCTTTAATGTATCGATTTGGTTAGTTCGTGTTATCTGTACTAGTATTATAATTATTACAGAGCTGAAGAGTTTGGCTGTTTGTTTACTCTTTTAACTCGATCTCTGTAACTTTTTATATTAATAAACCAATTTTTTCAGGGTTTTATTTAGTTTTTTTTTCTCCTGATGTTTTAATCTTACTATTAGTTCCAATAAATACTAGTCCTGTTATCTAACATCGTGTTGTGAAACATTACATAATTAAATGTCTAAATAAACACATATAAATATGTAAATAAATAAACTAGCGGACATAACTTGTACAGTAGTAATTATGTGTAGATTTGTTTTGTATATATAATTAAGTATATGTCTAATTTTATTTATTGTAAATAAACACACGGAACGTGAATAGAACCGAAATCCTTAATAATAAATAAAAATATACGTTTGTTTATCGAAGCCAAATTATACCAATCAAAGTAATGGTATCAAATGCGTTTGATTATTTTAATCATATTAGTTCACCCGTTAAGTAAATCTCATAAATACATCAAGTCATGTATCTCGAACATCGAGTGAGATGTGCTGGCAGTATAAATGGATTGCTTACTTGTGCATATTTTAACAGAAGGGATCGACGTTTTATGGTTTTCGTACGCAGTTTTCTTTATGTTTTCCTAAAAACCCTTTAGCGTAACGCACCTTTCGTATATATGGCGTTATTATAATATTGAAGTGTGTCCAAAGATTTTATTGATTTTTAAAAATTATTTTAGTAATGTTAATAAATAATATTGACATATTCAATTATAAAACTATTAAAATTATAATAAATGTTCAAAATTATAATTAAAAAAATATTTTAAGGTACTTTGGTGCCATTTTTGTATTTTTTGAAATCATTTTGTTATTTTGTGGGTAGTCTGTAACTATTACATATTGACCTTTGAGACGTCTAAAACCTTAGTCTCTCCCGTGATCATGATTGCTGTAAAGCATCAGAAACGTCGGGAACTAAAAATCTATACATATAATAAAATTGTAACTAAGTTGAATCTGGACATTAAATATTTTTTGGAAAATCTAATTGAAATAGACATTATTATACATACACAGTCCGAATCTATAGTTATTATAATTTTTGTCTGTCTGTCTGCCTGTCTGTCTGCCTGTCTGTCTGTCTTTCTGTGTGACTGTTATTGCATCACGAGAAAACCACTGGACAGATTTTGATGAAATTTGGTATGGTGATAGTTGGTTATCCGGGTCAACATATAGGATACATTTACCGGGAAAATATCGCATTTCTAATAAAAAATACAAAAACTGCATTGTAAGAGTATACTAATATGTAAAACCTAAGAATTTGGTTATTGGTCATTTGAACGCGGGCGGAGCCGCGGGCAATGCTAGTCTATATATAAATATGTGAAGAGAAAACTTTGAAACCCTTTTTAAGCATATTGCATGTATGGAGAAGTATGAGCTTTGGCATAGTAAAAATATAGACAAGGACTGCAGAAAGACAAAACTTATTGACTTTCTTTTACCCGCGAATCTACTCGCGTATTTTACTTACATATTACTTTGCTACTAAAAGATGCAGCATGATATTAGACAACCTCAATCAATATTATACGAGTACTTACATAATATAATATAAAGATAGAAAGTTTATTCGTCTGTACGTGCAAATCTCAGAATCTATGGGCCCGTTTCAAAATTGACAACATTTCATTTTTTCAACATCCCTATGTTATAATTTTAATTAAAACTAGATCAAAAATGAGGCGACCCATATCTTTTCTTTTTTCGAAATGATGCCGTTTTCATATAAAATTTCCACTTTGAAACTCGTCTTATTCTAAAAAGACGTAAGCGACAAATGACGTCATTAATTAGGTTGAATAGCGATATTGCCTTTGCCTTTCTCTCATCCGTCAAAAAAAATATACTAATGTCATTTTGGCATTACAAAATCTTTCCTTGTCAGTTGTCTGTGTACAAAAGTTTCAAAGCTTAAACGTTTTGTTTTTTATTGTGATTGTCATATTTTGAGAAACAATTCAAAATTCAAACGTCAATTATTCAGAAATGACACATATGACATATGACACTGACGTTGGACGAATAATTTCATCTTAATCTTTAGTAGGCAAAGGCAATCATCTCATTCAACCTTATTTGTGACGTCACCACAATATTTTCAGATTTTATTTTTTTTCTCCAAAACCAAGCATTAAAAAAATCCCAAAAAAATATATTTGTACTCAAAATAGGAAAATAAAGAAACGGTATTTTTATTTTAGGGTCTTCATATTTCTGAAATGTTGTCAATTCTGTTTTTATAGGCTATGTATATAACTTTGAAAAAATAACCTCAATATGGATCAAACTTAATGATTTATGGTTGATTTTCAACTACTGATAGATCGAGTATAACATTTTGGTGTGATAAAATGCTAATATAAGATTTTTTCCAGGTGGTGTTTTTTAAGAGCGGTCAACGTATCATGCAGTATGTACAGGGCCGAGACCCGCCCTACGAGCTATACAATTTTACAGGTGCCGATATAAATGTAAGTAATATTACTCGCATTCATACTTTCAATCTTAATTTTTACAGTAATTTTTGAGTTTTCTTATCAGAATCAAAAATATCATATAATAATAGTAAACTGCCTTTGCTTCGCTTGGAGCTTTTTAAGGCTTGTACAATGTACATCTTATAATATTAAATGAGCAATCCTTTTATGTATATAAAATTTCGTGTATCTCAGAAACGGCTTTAAGGATTTGGATCAAATTTTATATTTAGATAAGGTTTGGCGTTTTATGTTTATCTATCCATATAGGTGTCTTTTCTGAAAAAAAAAACTATTTTTATATATTTTCCGAAAAATGACCAAAGCGCTAGTGCTATTCTTTGGTAAACGACTATACATACGCACATACACAAAATTTTGCATTTTTTTCATTAGTGTGAAAATAGAAAATAGAAAATAATTCGTACCCATCGTTTATCCCCCAATATAATAACAATGTCGTTTAAAAATCCAATTTTCAGATTGATCTCAATATCAGTCAGTTAATCAATCTCAGAAAGTTAGTCAAGTCAGTATAACATAATATTTCCGCATTTATAATATTTTGTTTAATCCATCTTCTTGTTGATATTCGACCAAATCCAGACTTAAAGTGTGCAAACGTGAGGAGTATCACGTATGACCTATAACCGTCATGGATCGAAAATTGCCTTTATCAAACATTGTAAAGGTTCGTATCTTTAAAGCTTTAAACATAAAGGTTACATTGCTCTCGTGCTTAAAAATAGAATCACGTATAAGTGACAAAAAAATTCTTCAAGACAACTGAGTTGTTGATAACTGAATTCATACAATTTTTGAAATAGGTCGAATAATAACAGGCAATACCTGTCAATGGCGACATTTATAGTTATTATTTGACCTGTTTCAAAAATCATATCGTTTTCAAAGATCTAGATGAAATTTGGCACAGATATTATCGTCTGTAATAGCACATAGGTTACTTTTTATCCCGGTATACAGTTCCCGTGGGATAGTTTTGTAAAATAAAGTTTAATCTAATATATCTTTCTATTTTTTCATACCAATATATCATAATTTATGTGGTTTCTGTTGGCAACTTCGCAATTAAAAAATGGAACGATTACCTTAAGACTTAGCAGATGTCAGAGTGAGTTCGTAGCTTTCGTAGCGCTGTTAGGTGTAGCTTATAGCCCTACTAAATTGTTTAAATCAGTATTTATCTTTTAAATAATAAAAATAATAGATTTTTCTAAAAAACTTTTCTTTCAAAATAAATATTTTTAAAAGTTTGTAATAATTTGAAATCCTTAATAATGAGAATAAAGCTTAACATACCATCTAATAAAATATAGCATTCGATATTTTCCATACCAATAAATCATATGTGATTTCTGTAACTACTTCGAAATCCAAAAATAGAATTGATTACCTTAGATAGTAGATGCCAGGGTCAGTTCGTAGCTTTCGTAGCGCTGTAGGCATAGCTTATAATATAATATACCTTTATTAAATTAGATTGCATTTCTTATCATGGAATTGTATTAAAATAGTTGTTTTTTCGTTGTAATGATGAATTAAAAAACTTTTGAAACATTTTCTTTGTAATTTTTTAAATTTAAATTAGAATACAGTTTTAGATGCCACAAAAATACGCATAACGAATAAGACTATTAAAGCTTTATAAACTCTAAATTATAACTTTAATATTGTAATCAATTAATTGATTAATTAATTATACCTTTAAGGTTTTACAGCTCAAATAATTTAAGCAATAAATTGTACCATATTACACTTACCTCCCTGTATTTACTAATTATCGTGTATTTATAAGTAAAAGTGAATGTTTCTTCGTATGTTTGTCATTTATGTATTTCTAAACCATTTATCCGATTTTGATGAAACTTTAAAGAGTTGTTCGGTCTATTTAAGCTCGCAAAAATTCCTCGATTAAAAAATTTACACCTCTATTATATATTAGGTATCTATATTTGAACGTAAAAAAAAATGGCTATTTAATCAAGCAAAATTCAAACGCGGAATGGATTTGAAGTGAGCTCAAGTAGTAAACACTAAGCTAAATCAAAACTCGACCCTCGTTCTACGCGCATTATACAGACATGGGTGCCTACTATAATATTACAGATAATTTCACAATGACTGGATAATGATGACTTTGGTCTAGTGGTTAGCATGTATGGCAGCAGATTGAGAAGCATTGAGGTCCTAGTTCTGTCAGGTTTATCTGTCAGGAAATCAGTATCAGCTTGGAATTCGAAAATTGGTAGTGTTTACACTCTTATGTCTCAGAAAGCATATTAAACCCTGCTTCCAATCTCTCACCAATCTTACCGAATTGTCGTCCCCTTGGAGTATAGAAGTTAAAGGAATAGAAAGTATATTTGTGTACAGCGCATACACTTGTGCACTGTATTTCCCGAGCATTTGTTTAATCAATCTCAGTGAGATTGACTACCGTAAAAGAAATCAGTTATTTGAACTTTTTATTAGAATCTACTTAGAGATATGTACATACAAACAAAGCCACAGGCAGAAGCTAGCAGTTAAGTATAATAAAAAATATTCCAGAAAAAATGCAAAAAGAACGTGTATTTTCAATCCTTTACAAAACGATTAAACGAAAAAAAACTACAATTCCATGTCAACTTAATTAAAAAGTCTCTCTGAAGCAATTCGCGGGAAATGTCGAAACTGAAACTGCAAATATCCAGACTGACGGCGAAGTTCATTTATTTTTAAAGCACCCGCCTGATAGTGTTTTGAATGAATTAAATAGAATTTGTTTCGAACAATGCAACTGAATGGTTAAATGTGTTCAATTCGATTCTGAGTTTTGAAATCGTTAATGTATCGATTTATTTGGCTAGTTCTTGTTATCTGTACTAGTATTATAATTATTACAGAGCTGAAGAGTTTGCCTGTTTGTTTACTCTTTTATCTCGATCTCTGTAACTTTTTATATTAATAAACTAATATACTATTACTATATTATTTTTTTCTCCTGATGTTTTAATCTTACTATTAGTTCCAATAAATACTACTCCTGTAATCTAACATTGTGTTGTGAAACATTACGTTACAAAATATCTAAATAAACACATGTAAATATATAAATAAATAAACACGCGGGCATGACTTGTATAGTAGTTATTATGAATAGATTTGTTTGGTATATATAATTAAGTATATGTCTAACTTTATTTATTGTAAATAAACACACGGAACGTGAATAGAACCGAAATCCTTAATAATAAATATAAATATATATACGTTTGTTTGTCGAAGCCAAATTATACCAATCAAAGTAATGGTATCTAATGCGTTTGATTATTTTAATCATATTAGTTCACCCGTTAAGTAAATCTCATAAATACATCAAGTCATGTATCTCGAACGTCGAATGATCTGTGCTGGCAGTATAAATGGATTGCTTACTTGTGCATATTTTAACAGAAGGGATCGACGTTTTATGGTTTTCGTACGCAGTTTTCTTTATGTTTTCCTAAAAACCCTTTAACGTAACGCACCTTTCGTATATATAGCGTTATTATAATATTGAAGTGTGTCCAAAGATTCTATTGATTTTTAAAAAATATTCTAGTTATGTTAATAAATAATATTGACATATTCAATTATAAAACTATTAAAATTATAATAAATGTTTAAAATTATAATTAAAAAATATTTTAAGGTACTTTGGTGCCATTTTTGTATTTTTTGAAATCATTTTGTTATTTTGTGGGTAGTCTGTAACTATTACATATTGACCTTTGAGACGTCTAAAACCTTAGTCTCTCCCGTGATCATGATTGCTGTAAAGCATCAGAAACGTCGGGAACTAAAAATCTATACATATAATAAAATTGTAACTAAGTTGAATCTGGACATTAAATATTTTTTGGAAAATCTAATTGAAATAGACATTATTATACATACACAGTCCGAATCTATAGTTATTATAATTTTTGTCTGTCTGTCTGCCTGTCTGTCTGCCTGTCTGTCTGTCTTTCTGTGTGACTGTTATTGCATCACGAGAAAACCACTGGACAGATTTTGATGAAATTTGGTATGGTGATAGTTGGTTATCCGGGTCAACATATAGGATACATTTACCGGGAAAATATCGCATTTCTAATAAAAAATACAAAAACTGCATTGTAAGAGTATACTAATATGTAAAACCTAAGAATTTGGTTATTGGTCATTTGAACGCGGGCGGAGCCGCGGGCAATGCTAGTCTATATATAAAAACGTAAAGAGAAAACTTTGAACCTCTTTTTAAGCATATTGCATGTGTGAAGGAGTATGAGTTTTGGCATAGTTAATGTTTATATAGAGAAGGACTGCAAAAAGACAAAACTTATTGACTTTCTTTTACCCGCGAATCTTCTCGCGTATTTTATTTATATATTACTACACTGCTAAAAGATGCAGCATGCTGTTAGACAACCTCAATCAATATTATACGAGTACTTACATAATATAAAGATAGAAAGTTTAGTTGTCTATACGTGCATATCTCAGAATCTATAGGCCCGTTTCAAAATTGACAACATTTCATTTTTTCAACATCCCTATGTTATAATTTTAATTAAAACTAGATCAAAAATGAGGCGACCCATATCTTTTCTTTTTTCGAAATGATGCCGTTTTCATATAAAATTTCCACTTTGAAACTCGTCTTATTCTAAAAAGACGTAAGCGACAAATGACGTCATTAATTAGGTTGAATAGCGATATTGCCTTTGCCTTTCTCTCATCCGTCAAAAAAAATATACTAATGTCATTTTGGCATTACAAAATCTTTCCTTGTCAGTTGTCTGTGTACAAAAGTTTCAAAGCTTAAACGTTTTGTTTTTTATTGTGATTGTCATATTTTGAGAAACAATTCAAAATTCAAACGTCAATTATTCAGAAATGACACATATGACATATGACACTGACGTTGGACGAATAATTTCATCTTAATCTTTAGTAGGCAAAGGCAATCATCTCATTCAACCTTATTTGTGACGTCACCACAATATTTTCAGATTTTATTTTTTTTCTCCAAAACCAAGCATTAAAAAAATCCCAAAAAAATATATTTGTACTCAAAATAGGAAAATAAAGAAACGGTATTTTTATTTTAGGGTCTTCATATTTCTGAAATGTTGTCAATTCTGTTTTTATAGGCTATGTATATAACTTTGAAAAAATAACCTCAATATGGATCAAACTTAATGATTTATGGTTGATTTTCAACTACTGATAGATCGAGTATAACATTTTGGTGTGATAAAATGCTAATATAAGATTTTTTCCAGGTGGTGTTTTTTAAGAGCGGTCAACGTATCATGCAGTATGTACAGGGCCGAGACCCGCCCTACGAGCTATACAATTTTACAGGTGCCGATATAAATGTAAGTAATATTACTCGCATTCATACTTTCAATCTTAATTTTTACAGTAATTTTTGAGTTTTCTTATCAGAATCAAAAATATCATATAATAATAGTAAACTGCCTTTGCTTCGCTTGGAGCTTTTTAAGGCTTGTACAATGTACATCTTATAATATTAAATGAGCAATCCTTTTATGTATATAAAATTTCGTGTATCTCAGAAACGGCTTTAAGGATTTGGATCAAATTTTATATTTAGATAAGGTTTGGCGTTTTATGTTTATCTATCCATATAGGTGTCTTTTCTGAAAAAAAAAACTATTTTTATATATTTTCCGAAAAATGACCAAAGCGCTAGTGCTATTCTTTGGTAAACGACTATACATACGCACATACACAAAATTTTGCATTTTTTTCATTAGTGTGAAAATAGAAAATAGAAAATAATTCGTACCCATCGTTTATCCCCCAATATAATAACAATGTCGTTTAAAAATCCAATTTTCAGATTGATCTCAATATCAGTCAGTTAATCAATCTCAGAAAGTTAGTCAAGTCAGTATAACATAATATTTCCGCATTTATAATATTTTGTTTAATCCATCTTCTTGTTGATATTCGACCAAATCCAGACTTAAAGTGTGCAAACGTGAGGAGTATCACGTATGACCTATAACCGTCATGGATCGAAAATTGCCTTTATCAAACATTGTAAAGGTTCGTATCTTTAAAGCTTTAAACATAAAGGTTACATTGCTCTCGTGCTTAAAAATAGAATCACGTATAAGTGACAAAAAAATTCTTCAAGACAACTGAGTTGTTGATAACTGAATTCATACAATTTTTGAAATAGGTCGAATAATAACAGGCAATACCTGTCAATGGCGACATTTATAGTTATTATTTGACCTGTTTCAAAAATCATATCGTTTTCAAAGACCTTACTGTGTATAATATATTAGAGCACTTAAAACGTTACCACTAATAATCTTTTTAAGTCAATATTATTATAAACTACTTTGTGTGATGTAATATTTTACAGGATTCGTCTTTTCGTGCTCAAATATGAATCTTTTTATTTAGGGTTCCGTAACCAAAGGTTGCCAACGGAACCCTATTACTAAGCCTCCGCTGTCCTCGGTGCTCCAGACAGAGGAACCGTCTGTTAGAGGGCTGTATCTCATGAACCGTAATAGATGAACCGTAGTATATTTTTTTTCATTACTCAGCAGACCACTGTTATAAACTAAATTTCATAAATAGAAGAGAATAAATTATATTTTTTAGGGCAGAAAGATATCTTTTTACTCACTGGATAGCATTTCATATGAAAATTACCTTTTCTATATTACGCCGTGATCAAAAGCATAAATTATGTTTAAAAATACATATTTAATATAAATTTTTACTCGACTAAGAGAAAATAAATTACCGTCAACATTATAAAATTTTAAGAAAAGTACCTAATAGCGAAATTCTATAAATTACCCCATTGATTCGAGTTTGTGAAGTTTCTTGACTAGTTTCCCGTAAATTTTCTTCAAGTAACATACTAAAGTCCGTATGTTACTACTAACATGTTAAAGTGGGTTCATTGCTTCAAAACCGGCGCCGCTTCATGTGCAAATGTGCAAAAACTACTTCAAAGTTAAACAGTAAAAGGTTGACATTTTCAACGTAAAAATGCTGAGGCTCTAGTAGTTAATTAGGTTGAGCTTATTATTTTTGAATTCGTACTCATTTACATTTACTTTTATTCAAAAATTGATTATGAAGTTGGTCGTCTGGTATGATATACTTGTAATATTATAAACCTACGTGCTTTACATATGTCCTTGTATGTATGTATTCAACCATTTTTAACGTCCCACTGCTGGGCACGTTCCTCCTTTCAATAATGGCAAAGTGCGTTTTGGTGGGCTTCAAATATTGTTCAGAATTGTAAATAAAATACATACTATTACAAAGTTTTTTAATACATTCGAAATATTTACAAAAAATTTATTAACAAGCCTTACAAAATTATATAATTTTAAAGGTTTACATTAAATATTCTGAAACATTAAGAATCTAACAGAAGTGTTAGTTTTATTTTGAAACAGATTTCAGTAAGACATACTTTTTGTTTAAATATGGTCTGGCTTATAAGTGTCGTTTAGTTTCATTTTGATCTGTCCAGCAGAAATAAGTTTACTGTCAGAGCTCTACCTCTATATACTCACATACAAAACTTCAAGCCTTTACATATTTAATTTGATATTCCTGAAAATACTAAAACATGTAACGTGTATAACCCTTTTGCACTCTCTTAGGATTTGAATTGTAAACATTTCTCCTTAGTAATTATCTATTTCTGAGAATATACTATCAAGTATTCACATTTTATACCTCTTGGACGAGCAGCTTAAACTAAATGGAAACACACAAGGTGAAACCGTAAGCATTAGTTATAGATTTAAATCTATACATATAATAAAATTCTAGCTGAGTCGAATCTGTACATTCAATATTTTTTGAAAATTCGTATTGAAATAGTCATTATTATCGATAGAGGCCGAATCTATAATTTTTAGAATTTTTGTCTGCCTGTCTGTCTTATATAAATGCCATAACATCTTGTTTTAACTACGTTATAAATTATATTATAATTGTTATTTCTTTGAAATAATAAATATGAATATAATTTTGAATCCAAAATAATATTCTGGCATTTTAAATCAAATGCCCAAGAACTTAAGCTAAATATTCTCTTTCAAAGAGAACTGGCTTACCGTAGTTTATTTAGCATAGGTTTATTCTGGGTGAAGTAAACCATATGTAAATTTACACAAAAGATTTATTTACCTGCTACTTTCAAATCGTTTCAAAGCTCTTAGAAAAACTTTAAACTTGTTCCATGTTAATTGATTTTAAAATATCTTTCATTTCTTCTTTCATGTATGTTGAATAAAATTTTCATTAATTATTGTATCCTAATTTTAATAATTATTTTAGGTGAATGAATTGTATTTCGCTAACTTTCTTATTTGAAGTCATATCAAATTAGTAGATTTTAATAAAATTATGAATAGGTATATGTGTATAGTATATACAAAGTCTTACCTATAGTACTTCAACGATCATAAAAAAGGCACTTATGTAACAGTCATTAATTTTGTTACTTATCTGTATATATCTATACATATAATAAAACTGTGAAAAGAAATATATATCTATATCTATCTATCTATATATATATATATATATATATATATATATATATATATATATATATATATGTTTCCAAAAGAACATTATACATTTAAAACATTAAATGTATGTAAAATTATAGCAAAATAATTTTAATGTAAGACGTCTTGTATGGACCCTTCGCCACTGCTGTACACAGAAAAAATGCTAAAAACTGAGTCAGGGGGATGTAAGAAGAGAAATAGAACAAATCCAGTTTTTTTGTGTCTCTGTCTGTTTCTCTGTTTGTACGGGTTAATCTCCGAAACTGTTGGACCGATTTAAATGAAATTTTGCATGGTGGTGCCGTATATCCCCGATCAACATTTTAGATACTTTTCACCCTGGAAAATTAAATATTTCCCGTGAGATAATTAAAAAAATATAGTAACATTTACAGCTTAGTACACAACAACTTATGCACCTAATTTAGTAAAATTTAGCATGCTGATACCTTATATTGCCGGTTAAACAACAGGTTACTTTTAATCGCGAAAAAACAAACGGTTCCTGTGGGATAGATCTGTTTGTGCTCTTTTAGAGGCGAACCCGAGTGAAACGAGGGTGAGCCGCTTAGTATATGTTAAAATTCTAACTAAGTCGAATCTGTACATTGAGTATTTTTTGGAAAATCTTATTGAAATATAGAGGCCAAATCTATAGTTTTTAGAATTTTTGTCTGTCTGACTGTCTGGGGATGCATCACGGCATCACGAGACAAACATTGGACAGATTTTGATGAAATTTGCTATGATGATAGCTGGTTATCCCCGTTGACATATAGGATGCTTTTTTACAGCGTGAAAATATCTCTGAGAAATCTATACTAACCGTTAAATCGTAGGTACTTAGGGACGAACTCAAGCAGAGCAAGGTTGAGTCGCTAGTTCATTCTAAATGACGTGTATAGTAAATACTGTATTATATAACTTTTATTCTTGCTCCATATCACTTGGAAAAGCAGGAGCGAAGCGAGAACATGTTACTTGTATTATATGTATATTTTCTATATTAAAATGTGCTTGCAATTTTTTGCTCTTAAGAACAAAATATGTACAACTGTTAGGTACAATACAGAATGTTTCGAGATACATTCAATGTGTGAATACAAATACGACAAGTCGAAGTACAATGAAATTCCATTACAATTCGGAGTTATACTAAAATAGAGACATACACAATTATATGGAGACATCGAAGTTTAATTTTATTTGTAGTATTTATGGCTACGATTGTATAAAGACAAAAACAAATATTGCTTGATCGTATTCCTATTTTACAAGGATATGTCCTAAAGGTTTTTGTGTGTACAACTATAGAAGCTATATTTATGAACTAGCGATTCACCCTCGCTTTGCTTGAGCTCGTCTCTAGGTGATTCTTTAAATTGACATAGCTCTTTTTATTTAAGAACCGATTGAAATAAAACAAATACTGAATATGTTAAGTAAAGCTTACCATATCACCCAAGTCGTTTCTGATATTGTGATGTTTATTTTGTTTTTCAGAGATCATTTTGGATATTTTTTCTATCGAATTACATATACATACATAGGTGAAAGAATTCCCTAGCCCCTGCGCTCGTTAAAAACTGTATTGCAGGAGCCAGCCGAATAAACTACAAGTAATCGTGTTTCTAAAGTGTACAATTTATAGAATAAATCCTTAAATGTCTACGTATTAATTGCATAATTAAAGTTTTAGTAATAGCAATACAGCAAGAGATCAAACGAACGCTATTATTTCGTAATTGCCTCGGTGCCCCCTTAATAAAGACTCCCAATAATAGTTTTTTTTTCAGATATCTTTCATGTATACTTAGTACTTACTTATTAATCATTTAAAATTTCGAGTGTGATTAGAATTTTTTTAAGTTTAATAACTAATAATGGCTTAACAGTTTGAGTGAATTATAGAATGTACATAATATATAGCTGATATTTTAACACAAGGTCTACCTTCTTATCGTCGTGCCTATCATATAAGCGGAGTCAGAAATGTATACTGGTGAAGTTATAAAACAATTTTTCGTCTGACATTTAAATGACGCCCATGAGACTTCACACAGTCCACATAGTGCTAGATTGTTGTCATATTTCTTGTATGATGAACTTCTACCAACAATACTACTAGATATCGGATTTCGATTAGTTTTATTGAAACACTGCCTACGTAAACACGTTAGCTTACAAAGCAACAACGGGAAAAAGTTCTTTATGTTTTTTAAATATAAGGTTGATTTTATAATAATGATTATAAAACTGACGAAATGATCGTAACTGTAAGATGATTTGTGACTGAATTTGAAGACTTGTGACTTTATTACAAAGTGCTATGGTCATGTTGATTAGGTTGAAAATAAAACTGCCTACTACCTGCCTATACAATTGCCACATCTACAATCATCGAGCACCAAATAGGTAGGTACGTAGGGAAATGCTATGAAAATTGTTACTCTATTGTTTACATAATTATATGACCGGCTCCGCGAGAGATCAAATCTACTTATTAATTTTATTTACGTGTATTATCTCATGTTACATTTATTTTTAAAGTCGGGAGTTTTTAAATTATTTTATCCTTATTTCAATAACTTTTTAACCGTCGTGGGTTTTTACAAAATTTTAAATTTTGCTTTTTATTTTAAACTTTTTAGAGAGCATAGATATTATGTACATAACCCTATGTAAGGTACGCCTCTGCTACCGTAGTATGTACATAAGACAAGTATTTCCAAATAAACTTTGCCCGGGACTTTGTTGTAACTCAGTAGTTTTGGTTTTGCACAAACAAATGTTTACTGCAGCGCCCCCTGGTGAGTTGTCACCGTAACACCTTTCTAAGAATATGCACCAATCAAACTTGAATCCAAACTGAAAACTGCATCAAAAGCGGACTAGTAGTTTTGGAGAAAAATGGCAACATGCATTTGCACAAACATCCTCTCACCTCAAACGCATATACCGTCTCCGTTCCGTCGTGGCTAGTGATATAAAATTATATACGGTATTTGCAAGAAAAAAGCAATTTTAAAAATGTTTGTCTGTCTGTTTGTTCCGGCTAATCTAAACGAATCAGGGTTCCGCTCGGATACTTATAATATTTGCTGCATTTTTTTATGTTTGTTCGTTTGCTCAAACCTGTATGTAAAATAAAGATTAGTGTACAAATCTATATCTACTTTGATATTTTAATGTTTAGGTACCCTTACGATATTGCTATTAATATAATTATTGTATTAAAGATAATTAACAGATTAATTAGGGCCGTGACGAATTATAATATTAAAGTCCGTTAAAAAATCTATTAACAGCGAATTGGATTCGCACAACTACAGACTTCGTGACATAACACTATTTATGTATATATGTATGTATGTATATATATATATATATATATATATATATATATATATATAGTGTCGTGTTATATATGTAATAAGCTAAAGAGTTTGTTGGTTAAAAAGCGTTAATTTCTGAATCTACTGGTCCGCTTTGAAAAATTCTTTTTGCGTTTTATAGCTTGCTAGCAGAACCCGTGGTTTCGCTCGCGCTAAAACTACAAAAAAAACTGTAAAAGGGTAGTTTCATAGAAACTTTCATCCTCTATTTTACCCCCTTATAGGATGAATTTCGAAAAATGCCAAAACACGTATTTATTTCATTTTATTTAAGAGCATTAATACCAATTTTCAAGTAATTCTGACCAAAAATATTTTTTTGGATTTTGTATTATAAAGTATTTTCCCATGGGAATTAGGTAAACTCCCGCGGTACAAAGTAGCCTATTATTAAATTATGGTTCTCCAATAATAGACAGATATTGCATGTTCCTTACAATCATTTATTGATGTGAAATTCAGCCTATAATTACAATATACATTTTTAAACTTCCTTACACACAACCTGCGTCCTCTCTCACTTTTTATCAACCCACCTCCTATTTTTTTTCATTATACCCTCATATTTTATTAATGTCAAAATGTATAATTTATAATCATTTCTACATTCAAATTTATTAGAATCAATATAACAAAAATTAGTATAATAATAAATAATAAATAGTGTCGTTAACAGACGGCCGTCCTGCAGAAGGGATGTCCTCATCACTAACACAGCTCGGCCGTCCTATACCGAGTATGGCCTCATACTCAATCGTTCATTTCATATTTTTAAGCAATTTTAACCATTACAATACAAATTATACTTTTCATAGTTTTTAGCTAATTACTTTCAATACAATTACTCATATAGATAACTTAGAATAATATAACTGTAATAGTCAACTTAAAAAAAATATATATACTTCATCATTTTCATTTTTATAAAGAAAATTTTATGCATCTATGTAATATCACAATCATATAATACCGTTTGCCAACCGAAGGACACGGGCTAAACTATTAACAAATTCATATACTTAATTTTTCCAAATAACAATAATATGCTCCTCTTCGGGCTGCCTTAATAGTGAAATAACCGTTTGCCACCCGCGGGACACGGTCTGATTGTTTAATGATTGTCCGATAAGCTGCCGTTTGCCACCCGAGGGTCACGGTCTGCTCTCCATCTCTTATTGTAATACTGTGTCACATGCTTCCGTAAGCATCTTTCCTTTAAATAGGTAGTCCCTCCGTAGGAACTGACCGTACCTTCCTAACCTGAAATGGTGGGGATAGGAAATTACAGGGATGTCATTTATAATGCATTATTTATATATTTAATAAAAATGATTAATTCATATCACAGATATCACCACCTTCATCACCGCTACTACTACTTTTTTCACTCCCCTGTGGAGACAATTGAAAGCTAACCCATGGTTTTATCTGGTCAGCAGGATAAATATTTTTATATTTTCGACGACTATGCCCTTCAATACTAGAGACTTCATATCTATCTTTATCTAAAACAGCAGTGATTTTAAATGGTCCGCGAAATTTTGGTGCCAATTTTTTACTTTTTCCTTTGTCAGGATTGTGGTTAGGTATCATAACTAAATCACCATCTTTAAATATCCTTGTTGGAGCCCTTGTTTTGTCATAAGATTCTTTCATTCTTTTCTGCTTCTCAGCTATTGTATCCTGAACTGTCTGTCTCATTTCTATTCTTTCATTTTCCGTTACGTTGTCATCTGTTATATCTAAAATAGCTCCTTTTAAAATATTTTCAGATTGTCCACTAGTTCTATGTCCAAAAACAATTTCAGATGGAGATTTATCAGTACTTTTATTTAAAGTATTGTTTAAGCTCCATTGGAGTTTAGATATATTCGAATCCCAATCCTTCTCATCCAGTCCGTGGTTCATTGCTGAAAGAGCGCTCAAAATAGTTCTATTGTATCGCTCTATTTGACCATTCGCACGTGGAGTAGCAACGGCATTACAAACATGTTTAATACCAAGTAAAGTTACAAAATTTTTAAATTCGTTCGATGTAAATGATGTACCCTGATCAGAGATAATAATTTTAGGATAACCAAAAGTGGCAAATATTTCATCTAAAACTTTAATTGTGGTTTTAGACTTCGTATTTTTAACAGCTCTAATAAGTATGAATTTGCTGAAGCCATCAATTATGCCTAAAATATATGTATTGCCACGTTTGCTCTTAACAAACGGACCAAGGTGATCCATATGAATTGTATGGAATATTGAGTTAATTTTAGGTATCGGATGAAGATATCCCGTCTTTTTACCACTAATTTCTTTATTGTATGCGCAATTTATACAGGCAGTAACGTATTTCTTTATAAAACGTTTCATCTTCGGGAACCAGTAATCAGACTGAATTTTTTCTAAAGTTTTCTCTATTGAAAAATGCCCTGCCTCATCGTGATTTAGTTGGCATATACGCCAACGAGCACCATGAGGTACTACCCATTTTAATTTATTACCAACTCGCCTATATAATTTATCATCACGTAAGACATAATTATTTTTAATATCTTTGATATCTTCATCGGTCTTACTTAATATTGCTTTAATATGTTTTAACCGTGTATCTGACATCTGAACAGTATGTAGCCAATTGCTAGTAGAAATATTCAAAATATCTAATTCTTCCAGATCATTCGGCGGTAAGACAGGATTTCGGCTCAGGGCATCAACGTGTTGCATGTTGTGCCCGGGTCTATATTCTATCGTAAAACTATATTCTTGCAGCATGAGCCACCATCTCGCTACCTTTGGTATCAAATCCCGCTTAGTTAAAGTTGTTCGCAATGCGTTACAGTCTGTAACAACTTTAAATTGTAATCCGATCAAATATACTCTGAATTTCTTCAAAGACTGGACAACAGCCATAGTCTCTAATTCATGAGAATGCCAAAACTCCTCTTCACGTGTGGTTTGCCGACTGAAATAAGCTACCGGTCGTAAAGGTGTATCACTATTTGCTTTTTGAAGCAAAACTCCACCAATACCAACTTTGCTTGCATCGCAATGTACTTCAGTTTCAAATAAATTATTATATAAAGCTAGTACTGGTCTATCAGTGAGTTTTCGTTTGATATCTTGAAAAGCCTGTTCTTGCTCAGGACCCCACTGCCAATGAACATCTGCTTTAGTCAATTTCGTTAGTGGCTTAACAATTGCAGCGAAATTATAGACGAACCTCCTGAAGAAGCTTGCAAGGCCAACAAACTGTCTTATTTGATGGACATTTGTTGGTGTAGGAAATTCCGAAACAGCCTGAGTTTTCTTACTTCCAGGTCTTAATCCTGATTCAGAGATCTCATAGCCAAGATAGTCTATCTCTGATTGGAAAAAATAGCATTTCTTAAGGTTTAAAGTTAATCCTGCGTTAGTTAACAGATTTAATATTTCTTCTAACATTTGAAAAGAATTGTCAAAATCTTTACCTGCTGAAAGTAAATCATCTAAATATGGAATAGCGAGTTCAAAACGTCTGTTTCCTAAAGCCTTATTAATCATATTTTGAAAAACAGCAGGTGCATTAATAAGTCCAAATGGCATTCTTGTGTACTCATAAAGGCCATCCGGCGTTACAAATGCTGTAATGTGTTGAGACGATTCACTTACTGGAATTTGATAATATCCCGAAGCTAAATCCAAGCTCGTAAAGTAAGTCTTACCACTCAAACGATCAAGCTGATCATCAATTACGGGCATCGGATAACTATCTTTGTCTTCTTATTAAGCGCTCTGTAGTCAACACATAACCTGTACTCATTATTTTTCTTACGAACAAGTACTATAGGACTTGCATACGCGGAATGAGATTCTTTTATAATATTATTGTCAAGTAATTCACCAATCATCTGTCTCACTATGGCTCTTTCACTATATGGTAGACGATATGGCTTATATGTAACTGGAGTCTCATCATTTAAACGTATCGTCATTTCACTAATATTTGTCAAGCCAAGTTCGTGCATATTAAGGGCAAAACAGTTTCGGTACTTGTTCAGTAATTCTAATAATTTTTCTTTCTGTTGGATAGATATTTTAGGACCTACATTTAACATCTCCATAGTTATCTGATCTTTAGGGATAGAATATTTATCAGAATGATTTATTGTAGAATTATTGATAGTATTAACTTGCATCTCATTATTAACATCTCTCATATGCACTAATTCTGAATTAGGTAACTTTATGGCACGAGCTATGACTTTACTTTTATAGATAGTAAACATGTTATTTGAAAAATTAATCATAAGAATATTTCCGAGTCCTTTTTCGAATTGATATACACCTTGTAATGTACAATATTCTTCACCAAGTTTTGTGCATACGTTTCCAGGAATGAACAAAAGACCCGTATACTCACCGTCAGTATGCACTTTAACGCTTTGAAATCCTTTAAAACTAATATCTAATGAATTATATATATTTATACGGTCTAAGTTAGATTTATCACAATACAAAATCAAATCAGAACTGGTTTTATATACAGTGACGCTTGGCAATTCGGTCAATGACTGACCAATGAGTACATCTGTTTTCAACAAATCATTCGTGACAACATATGCATCTACATTCGCTTTTACAGCATCTACTTCAATATCTATCATAACTTTTCCTAATGGAAGTACACTGCCAAAAGCAAATCCCTTGATAACAGGTAGATCGATTTTATTAAGAACAAGATTACTCTCAGAGGCTACTTCCTCTTTGATTAATGTGCACTGACTACCAAAATCAATGTAAGCTGTTTTGATAGCTCCATTCAATTTAATCGACTTGTAATACTTGCCGTTTCTTTGGTCCTCATTTGTAATTTGTAGTACCCTTTTTGTATCCCCATTCGACTCAGATGAATTTTTGTCACCAATCTGATGAGGTCCACTATTACCTATCCGTTGGCAGTCTTGCGCCTCATGTCCAAGGCGCCGACATTTATCACATCGCTTAATAGGTTTCGTACAATTCTGTGCCGTGTGACCAACATCAGTGCAATTGTAGCACCGGACTGTCCTGAAACGATTACGGGGTCCATAGCTTGTTGTTGCATTCATATTAATTGTTCTTTGTGTACTACTATTATCCTTATTGCTTAATGTGTTATTTTTAGATTCTGGTATCATTTTCCGAGAAAGACCGATAGTCTTCTTAGATATACGTCTTAAATATTTTAACAGTTGCGATGGTCTTTTAAAACTCGATCCTTGTGCATTTAACCTTATATTATTATCGAAGATACCGTTTATGATACAATCCACTGCATTTCTACCTCTAACACCACACATTTTAACTAGTCTTGCTTTATCATGATAATATTCTTCTAAAGATTCATCTCTTTTACTTTTCCGTTCCAACATTTCATATAATCTATCTGCATAATTTCTGTCATCAGGAAAAGTTTTGAGGATTTTCCTCTGCCACTGACGCCATGATAAATTTAACGTGCTCCTTCCTTGATACCATTTACGAGCATATCCACAAAGTTTAGGTATAGCATAATAAATTATTTGTTTCTCATTCCAATCGTATATATTAGCAGTTTCATTAACTTTACGTATCCAGTCGATAGCTGTCTGGGAATTAGCGTCTGGATCAAACTCTGGTATTACATTGTGAGCACCTTCGAATGTATTACGTTTACAATCCATGAGTTTGCTAAATTTCTTAAAGAAATCGTAATCCTCAACTGATGTAGCTCTCGAATTATTTCTATGTCTACTATAGTGCTCTTTTCTTCTATTATGGGATTTACGTTTATATTTCCGCGATGAATTACGTACACAAGAGCTTTCGCTATCTGATGATCGACTAGTACTCGAATGCTTATTACCGCGATAGCTCTTCCGTGAACTCGTACTACTAGAACTAATTGAATCATCTCTTATCCTGTATCGATATCGCTCATAACCTCGTACCGGAGATGGCGACAGACGACGACGACGTTTGGGAACATAACTTTGGTCATCACTACTTAATGATCTTGAATAGCGAGGACGAGAACAACTACGGCGTCTTTTTGAATTATTCGCGGTTCTCTTAGATGTGTTTTTATCTACCGTGCGCCGGCTTTTATTATTATGTTTATTTCTTATAGGGCTCCTAGATTTTGTTTTTGTATAATTAAGGGGTGGAGTATATGCCGATGGGGACGACATATTCATGTGCAATCTAGTTATTATTATTATTAAAGTGGCTTTTTTTTTATGAGACTATTTTTAACATATATATGTTAGTAAAGAGACATGTTAAATAAGGAAGAAAATAAGGAAAAAAATAATAATTGTATTATTAACTTGATGATAATTCGAAATCACAAATGGAGTTACTTCATCTTGAAAATAAATTTTATAATATGTAGGTACGGAATATAATAATTCAGTGTAATTATGTACATTCACTAAAATTATAGATAAGCTATTAACAACTTAATGTCAAGTTGTTTTTAAAATCTAATAACAATACTCTTTTCTTTAATTGATATAGTAACAATAAATAAATTATCACGTCATATCATACATATACATAAATTAAAATATTATCATTATTATTATTTTACGTAACTATACACATAATTTTCTATACACTATCGAAACGCCTACGCAATTCATTATTTTATTTATTATATTATTAGCACACCGACTTTGAACATATCTCATTAAGTAAATGAAAATTACCAATCAGTTAAATATAAATATATTTTTTTAAGTTTTTGTTTCATATAAGTGTAAATCTTATATGCAGTAGATAAACATATAGAATCAACAATATGATATAGTTTTTGTAAACGTTTTTATTTTTATTATAAACATGTATTTGAAAATAGTAGATGTTAATTAATTATCATATGTACATACCTCTTAATTTTTCTCAATGTTCTTACCACTTCTGACTATTAAATTATGGTTCTCCAATAATAGACAGATATTGCATGTTCCTTACAATCATTTATTGATGTGAAATTCAGCCTATAATTACAATATACATTTTTAAACTTCCTTACACACAACCTGCGTCCTCTCTCACTTTTTATCAACCCACCTCCTATTTTTTTTCATTATACCCTCATATTTTATTAATGTCAAAATGTATAATTTATAATCATTTCTACATTCAAATTTATTAGAATCAATATAACAAAAATTAGTATAATAATAAATAATAAATAGTGTCGTTAACACTATGTCACTCTTCAGCCTTTCAACTATCTCCCCACAAAAGATCATCCAATACGTCACTCTGTTTCGACGTGAAACAAACAAACACACTTTCACATTTATAATATTAGTATGGATTAAGGAAGGTTATTGGCTATCTTCTGTATCCTCCCACTACGACCTATAATAGCAAAGTAATTCTATAAAATTATGAGAGGCGATAAAACGTTAGTTACGTGATATAAGCCCTTAATTGTATAACGATTGTAATCTTGGTAGTTATGTAGTTTGAGAAGTGTTTCGAAATATTAAAACCTTTTTTTTTCCACCATAAAATCCATTATAGTAAGTGATTATATCGAGGAAGGATGACATTTTCCATTATTTCTATAAGATATGAGGTTTCGAAGTTCCCGGAATCACGTAATAAAATAGAACATTTCCGAACATTTGCTCACGTTGAGACTGGCAAGTGGACGTAAACCAATAGCGTGACAAATTAAAGCATCCCATAACAGAAAATAAAGTATTAGAAAAGTTTTTAAACTAAAAATATAGCTGAAATCTAGCCCAAACTCAATTCACTTTTGTTAGCTCATATGGATTGTACTTTAAAAGTCATTATTATAAGCATGCAAAGATTGACACACGCTTGTATTTACTCTTACTACGGCTTTACCGACAGACAGGACGTTTTGGGTATTTAAATTAAGATGTATGTAGGTCAGCCTTCATTCTTTTTTTGTCATTGAATATTTTATGATAAATTTAGTAAATGCTTAGTGAAAAAATTAGTGCTACCTTAATTTCAGAAGGAATGAAGTCTTTGAAGCTCATTATTATGTTAATTATATAGATTAAGCTTCATTTATAGGAATAATAATTTGGTATGTAAATTTTATGTCAATCTACTAACAACTTTTTAGGGATATAAAAACTATAGCTTTCGACGAAACATAACGGCCACAGCTGGTTGTTGACAGCAAAGGGAGATGTTGGGCTTTGTACAAAGTATATTATATTTTTATTATTTAAAAAATGTATGAGTAACTTTCTCAAAAAATAAATAAATGTAGTTTACATTAGTTTATAATGACTAATATATTTTCTTCACTTATAGATATTTGATGAAACGTTGCATAACTTTCCTTGTTTCAGTTATTACAAATGACTCCAACAACTATAACACTGGAAAAAATGGATTTCTCAGCGTCCGGCCCTTACGCGTGCGAAATTGCACTCGAAATACCACTTTATTCGAAGGCGTCCAAAATACACGAAGTGAGCGTTATTGGTAAGTAAAATTTACCTTTTTAACCTTTTCAATAATTTGGGACTGGCCTCTAAGAACCTCAGGCGATAGACCGTTTTATTCTAAAGCACACATTATTTTTAATTCACTAGCGACCTTCATCCACTTCGCTTAGAACTCAGAAATTCTAAATATTTTAAGTGATTCTTTTATCACCTGTATTTATTATTTATTACCATTTTAAATACAGTAGTTGTTTTTATAATATCAATAGTATTTCACAGTATTTTGAATTTAAATATTTCCATAAGCATTTTCAGATCTGATATGTTTTTTTCAAGAAGTTTTTGTTATCTTGAAATTGGTTCTCTCAATGTTTTCTTTATGTGAAACTTTAAGTAAGCCAACATAGTTATCTTAGAAAGTTAAACACTGATGATATTATACAGTATAATTTAAGAAAATAAATATATTCTTAAAGTTATACACACACGTATCCAATTGTAATCTTATATCTTTGAACGAGCAATTCTCGGAAACGGCTCCAAAGATTTTCATGATATTTAGTATACAGGGGGTTTCGGGGGCGATAAATCGATCTACATTAGTCTTATGTCTGGGAAAACGCGTGTTTTCGAATATTCATACGGTTTTCTTTCTCATTATTCCACGCAAAATATGGTCGATAATTACACACGCTCAGGCATAACCATCATGCTCAAGCGGCCAAGGCGCAAGATTGACAATCATAGGTGTCCGGGTTCGAATTCCGGTCGAATACAAAGGTATAATTTATTTTAGATTTTTTTTGTAATTATTCAAGTTTTTAGTTTTTTTTTAAAGAAAATGTACTTTTTACCAAAAACTCCGAGCGAAGCTCGGTGGCCCAGGTACTCTTATAATATTAAATGAGCAATTCTTGAATATGTAAATTTATTACGTAGCACCCGGAAACGGCTCTAACGATTCGAATCGAATTTGTATTTAGATAAGGTTTTTCTTTTTAAGTTTATCTATAGGTATAGGTTACTTTTCTAAAAGAAAACAATCTTTATATGTTTTCCCAAATAACGTCGAGCGAAGCTCGGTCGCCTAGGCTTTTGATATTTAAGTACTGCTGTGAGTATCATTAACGGCATGATTAGAATAGTTGACAATAAGTCATATAGAGTAATAATTAATAGTAGAAATAACGAACGTTGAAAATATGTCATCTATTATTGTTAAACCTATACCTACGGATATTATAAAAAGTTAGAGTTTGTTTGTTTGATTGATTGATTGAACGCACTAATCTCAGGAATTACTCATTCGATTTGAAAAATTCTTTTTGTATTAGATATTCCGTTTATGGAGGTATATAATATATAGTCTATCATTTCCATACTAACCGTTAAATATTTTATATAAATATGCACTATTGGCTGTACATTTTTAAATTTGTTAATATTTTAGTTGTACGTCTGAAATGTCATGTAGGCACTTAAAATATTTAAACTAAAGGAACCACGTTAGTATTTAAATAGTTAAAAGCATGAAGTATGAACCAAGTTGTAAATAAACTTTGAGAGATGTATGGAAGTAAAATGCAAACGATATGGCTAACGATAAGTAAACTACCATTACTGTAGTCGTAAATTCTATATGCATATAATAAAAGCGTGGCAAAAGTAATGTTTGAAATGAAGTTTTTATAAATACTAGCGACTCACCCTCGCTCCGCTCGGGTTCGTTTCTACTTATGTTTTAACGCTTAGTATAAATTTCTCAAAGATGAGATATTTCTCCGCAGTAAAAAGTATCCTATATGTTCATCCGGATAACCAGCTATCATCATATCAAATTTCATAAAAATCCCCCCAGAGTTTTTTTTTGTCAGACAGACAGACAAAAATTCTAAAAACTATAGATTCGGCCTTTGTATCGATCATAATTTCTATATCAATAAGAATTTCCAAAAAATATTTAATGTACATATTCGGCTTAAAATTTTGATATAAATAAAAATATACAAATGGGTCCAATAGTTTTCAAGTAATGCACTCACAAGGGAGCAGCATTTCAGAGTAGAGTATTAAAATACAATAAAATAAGAAATTTGATGTATGAGAATATTATTATCAAAAAAGAATATACCAAACAGGTATTATATAAATATACTAGCGACGTACCATTGCTTCGCTCGGGTTTGTGACCGCCTCACGGAAAAACCACTGGAGGGATTTTGATGAAATTTGTATGATAATAGCTGGTTTGGTTATCCGGGTCAACATATGGGATCCTTTTTACTGCGGGAAAATATCTCATTTATAAGATCTTCTCTAAACGTTAAAAATGTTACTAGGGAATTAACCTTTTTTTTTTTAACGTTGGGAAATGCATTTACGCACGACGTGTGGGACTCACCGGCGTAATACAGCCAGTACTACCCACTAAAACCCAACAAAACCTTCCCCCGTCTTAATGGGGCGTCGCAGGATCGCTTACGCATTCAACTACGACGCCCCGACGGCAGGTCTGCCAAAGCAGACCACCACGACCATGGGGTTGCTCCAAGGTCCACTCTGCTATCAGAGAAGTACCAGGAGCAACCCACAAGGTACACCGCTCCCTCGAAGAGGGCCACCTCCCACCGCCCACCGAAGTGGGCAACCTCCCTGTGCGTTTCTTAGCTTCGCGCCCGGTTGGATTGCCGGGCACTACTGAGCCCCCCACCACGACAAGGTGAACGCACGTTGGGGGGGATCTAGGGAATTAACCTAACCCGAGTCGAGTGAGAGTGAGTCGCTAGTATTTAAAACGTACGTAACACTCAAGAATAGCTGGATAGATTTTAATAAGACTCTTTTATTTGTTTATTCAAGAACATAGACAGGTTAGTTGTTATTGATAGTTTTGTTATTCCTTCGATATCATACATATATATTTATATTAATGAACTACGCTGGGGTTCGTCTCTAGATGATTCTTTAAATTGATATAACTTTTTTACGTATGAACTGATTGAAACAAAACAAATATTATATGTTAAGTGAAGCTTACCACAATCCATTAGTGAAAACCGCACCAAAATCGGTTAAGCCGCTTCTGAGGTTATCGCGCACAAACGCACAGACAAACAGACAAAAATTCTAAAAATCATTGATTTGGGTTCTATTGTTTTAATAAAGAAATAGAACCCACAATAATAGTTTTTCTCTAATATCTTCCATATACACTTTTATTATATGTATACTCGTAGATATAGTTGAGTCATGAATTCGGATATTATTTCCGAATTGACTATAATCATATATTTAGCTTTTGCCTGTAAAGATAGCATAAGTTTTAAGGAAGCTATTTTTTCAATCCGTCGAGTAGGCTTAATAATACATACCGATAGTCGAATTTTACGTGTTTCCATATAAAATGGAGGTCATATTTAAGGACGGTGAGATAGATTAAATATGTGATAAATAATATATTGCTACAAGCAATTTTCGGAGCACGATCATTAATTTAGTTGATAGACTACCAGAAAGGTTCTCAGTTACAATAAATTGATATACTTATTAAGTATTGCACTCACGTGAAACGAGATGGTTCTGATACGATAAGTGCATCATAAATCTCACATGAAGTAAATTGAAAATATAATATCAGGTTCGCCTCTAGAAAAACAAAAACGAATCTATCCCAACGGGAACCACACATTTGTGCGAAATAAAATCCAAACTATTATCTATCTCTATGTTAAATTTCATCCAGATCCGTTCAGCCGTTCTGGCGTAATTAGGTAACAAACATCTATACAGACATCCAAATGTGAAAAGTTTCACATTTATAATATTAGTAAGATTAGGTCTCAGAATTACATTTAATTAGGAGACGACACAAATTTACCAACCTAACGGGATAATACATTTAATAAATTTGTAACTGATTGCTGTCTGTACATGGAACATATTTAAGAAAAACGATTATTAGGGTCTTTATTAACACAATAGAAACCAAAACAATGATTTTTAGTATTTTTTTTGTTTGTCTGTTTGTCGATTTGTCTGTTTACCTGTTCTTACCTGTTCTGTGCGTTTGTACGCGATGGGTGCAATTTTCACTCATACATATATTGTGGTAAGCTTCACTTAACATTTAGTGTTTGTTTTATTTCAATTAGTTCATAAATAAGAAAGTTATGTCAAAGAATTACCTAGGGACAAGCCCGAGCAAAACTATTCTATTGATTTATTTTATCCAAAGAGTCAAGATGAGTTTTTAGTAACATATAGATTCATACCACACAAAAGGAGTCGTGAGTTAAAGCTAGTGGTATTAAAATTGATAATTAATCAATATTTTAAAGGATTTTCATTAGTTTAATAGAATTAAATACTTAGATAAGTATTTTATTCAATTAAATTAAGCTTTGGCCTTGTATATTGAGATAGGTTAAGTCAATTATAACGGCGATCTTCATAATTTTACCTTAAATCAAATTAATACTCAAATATTTCCTCAGTAAGACTATTGAGTAAGGGACTCAATCTTGGAACATTGGTCCCTTATTTTACTTAATTTTACTCATCACTACATCTTTTTAAGTAATATTATTTAAGTATACCTTCTGAGCTGTTTTTATAGTCTATGGGACATCTTTAAAGATAATATAAAATGGGAAACCTGTTCTGAAAGCTACAAGTTCTACGAAGAGTAAAAATTAGGATGTGAGGTGATTTAACAGAAAGTTATGTATTGGCAAAAGCATGTTATTTTGAAAAAAAATCTACATATAAAACTCTGTTTTCGAACTTTTGCGTAGATTTATTTTGATTTTTGGTTCCCAACGTTTTAACTTTTAACAACTACATAATGACCTTTGAGACATCTTAAACCTAAGTGTCTCCCGGGACCATGATTGCGGTAAAGCATTCGAAATTATCAGAAATTATAGATCAAAATAAATCTGCGAAAAAATCTGATAAGATAATTTTATTTGAAATATCTAATACTCGCGCAAATCTAAAAATGTATTAATGTCTATACGTTTTAATATTTAATTATTTACTTTCCTTGCCTACACCAAAGCAAAAAAATTGTAAGTCGATTAGATCATTACGTATTACCATAATAGTCTATACCGCTATATTTAATGTAAATCTACTTATTCAGTTGAATAACGTTTTCTTGTCACGATTTCACTCTCTGTCTTGCAAATCGAATTACTCAGAGTATATTATTTGAGGTCAAGATTAGAACATCTTACTTTACAAGGATTCTATGATCAATGTGAATAGATGATTTTAATGTGAATAGACCTAAAAAATTGTATTTAATATATAAGCATTTTTTGACCCATTTTAACTAAAATTTCATTTTACTTAAAGGTATCAAAATTCTTGACGATGTCAAGTACAGTATGTATGAATTTATTAAAATCATATTTTTTGTATTGTTTTTAGTGTCAACACAAATTTTAATCTTTTATGGGAATGAATTAAAAGAGTACCTTAAACTTTTTTATTTAGCAATCCAACACAAAAATATTTTCGTGAACTCCAACTATGCACAGATGTTAAAAGCTTGCTTAGTTTTACATATCGTCACGTAACACTGCAAAATGTTAGCCTTTAAACCTCTCGATTCGTGCACAGTATGAATACGTTTTTATGTATAAAAGTGGGATAAAAGTACGCTTTCGGAAAATCGGCTTGGTACCCATCGCTTTGCATATTCTGCTGATACTCTTTGTGCGATTTTTGCACGCTTCTGCTACTTATGTTCGGTTCGTTCAAAAGAACACTACATTAATCCGCATATAGCCCAGCTCTGTTCTATTTCACAGACGATTAACCAAGTATACAAATATAATGATTTGTTCTCGCTTTTCCTTATAATAAAATGTTTGTAGAGGTATTACTAGTTATTTTAATGATTTTTATATACAATATAATTAACATACAAGTTTATAGCTAATTTTATTAAATTAGCTTGCAATCAGAGGTTAAAAGGGTTCTTTGACTGGGTTATATTCCCTTAAACGAAAATAAAAATCATAGTTTTTTTTTTCAATTATTGTTAAATGTATTTCGATCTTGAGCTCAAGTCAATATTAATTGTTACTCTTCTTGAAAGTGCCTTCTAAATTTTCTTTCTTTTAACCATATTTTGTTTTCTTTTACCATTTTTATCAATATACCTATTTTTTCTTTTTTTATTCGATTTTCATCAAAGTTTATTTTCGTGTCTACTTCAAGTCATTAAGACTATAAAACTACTGAGAAAATCACACCACAAAATACCCTATCGCTTTCAGAGAACAGAAACTGAAAATAAAAAAATTACTATAATATTCACTAATAAGAAATTACTCTTATAGTACTAGTATAGTACTATAAAATCTGTGCTTATAGTAATTTAGCTAGAACTATATAGTTTTAGCGGTTAGTATAGATTTATAGTAAAAACTAGCCAAGTCAAATCATGAACTTCAATTTATCCTGAGTTATCTACGCTGTGTAAATAATTTGACAGTTAAAATTTAAGAAGTTCTATTTTTGAATAGCAAACACTTTTGTAGCAGAAAAAAACAAGAAACTGTGTTTTCAATTTATTTTAGAATGTTGTATGTTCTCTTGAAAAAAATTCAGGATTATCTACAGAATTTGGCACCCATTTAGATCTCAATTCTTTTGTCAGCAAAGTCGACAACCACGCATATACTTAATATTGAACTTGACTCCCATTTTCACATTTATGTTTTTGATTGGATATAATATAGGTACTTAATATTTATAAATACTAAACTTCTTATGTGTATTTTAAGTATCCTATAGCCAAATTTTATAGTACTGATTTTCTTACAGTTCGACAAAAATACCGTCCAAAAATAAAGATCAAGCATAAAAAATTATCATCCAACGACGATCTGGAAGCAAGTTGTCAAAGCGCGCCCGCATATCCTGCGCCGCATCTAACATGGCTTATCAACAACGTTAAGGTAGGTTCTTAGTTTTTATGGTTTCGTAATCAAATGGTCAATTCCATATTGTTTGTTTTTGTCCTTGTCGTTTGAATTTAGGTTGAAGTTATGGCTCTTTCGGGTTATGGGCATGGTGAGGGTATGATGGTAGCTGGGTATCCAGTCCAACATATAGGATTTTTAGTGCGCGAAAATATCTCATCTCTGAGAAATCTATACTAAACGTTAAAACGTACTTGGGGACGACCCCGAGCGGAGCGACGGTGAGTCGCTAGTTGTTTATAATACTGTGAGATTGCGACTTGTAGAACTTATAAATTAGTAAGTAAAATGTGAAAGCATAAAACAATGGTCTTTCAGTCGATTTGAAAGGAAATTCGAAGTTATAGTTTACTCTAGAATCACTAGCTATATAAATATAATAGCTTCTATAAATTGGTAATAAATTCTCTTATGATAAAATTTTGTGCCAATTTTAAATTGGTAGTAGGTAAATGTTAAAAAGGACCGTAATATAGCTATAGTTCGTAAAGCTTGTATGACTATTAAGTACAATAGTAAAATTTTACAACTTTATTGTCTGATATCGAGAGTTCATAAATTCATTTATATATATTCAAAAAAATGTGAATGTCTGTTTGTGCAAAATCGAAAAAATCTGATATTTCTTCACTGATTGCTTTAAAATGTAGATATAATATATGTACCTATGTGTTTTTAATTAGCAAAAGTTCCTATTAACTTAATATGTCATAACACCATTTAATATACATAGATATCAACCTATAATTACATAATTGATAAGTTACTAAAAATTTAATGAAAATTTTGAACGTATTATTTACTGCACAGTAGATATAACTTGTAATATATAATTATTTAATTAGTATTTATAGTAAAAATAATAGTAGAAATGAGCAGAATATTCGTAGAAATTATTATATGATTTAACAGTAGAAGTTTGTCTGTCTTTAGCGCAGTGTATCGTGTCCGCTACGACATTAAGTGAAACGGGTTCTAACCCGGGTGTCAGAATTCTGAAATTTTATGTTCTAACCATCGATCGTTCAACATGATTTCCATCTGCTAGTTCTGTGAAATGAAAGATATCTGTACATTTAAGTTAACTCTAAACTTAACTATTAGTTTTCGAAACACGTGTAAAGTCTACCAACCCGTGCTTAGTTAGCGTGGTGAATAAAGCCTCTCACTCTCATAACATAACAAGGTAGGCATGTATCCAGCAGTGACGCTTGAAGGGCAGAATTTATAGTTTTAAAAGCATAAAATACTACTTTGAATTTGTTACGTTTCCGGTTCCGGTTAATGCAGCGAGATAAAACGTACGTTAATTGCTTTTAAGTCAATTTGCGAGCTTTTATAAAAATTAAATCGGTCAAAGTTTAAATAAGTCGGTTAATAAAGTTATAATGTACGGTTAGTCAGTTATTTCAAGGAAACCATTAGATGAAAACAATGTTATATTTGTTTTAAGTGGAATTTATCAAAGTAACTTTGTTCTTCTGTTATCTCTTAAATAACCGATGATGTTGGTAATTTGAATTTGAAAAGATCCACATCTAAATGTTGATATTTTTATATTCAAAAAACAACGATTGAACAACCAATGGTTAGTTTAATAAACTTGTGAGTACACATATGACAATAGGTACTAGCGACTTCGTCCCTAGGTAGATTCCCCATACAAACTTTCATCCTCATTTTCACGCAGTTAAGTGATTATTTCTGGGATAAACACAACCCTGTGTCCTTCCAGGGTCTCAAACTATCTTGTTACGAAAGTTCATCTAAATCGGTTTAGTTGTTCCAGAGATTACTTCCTACAATCAAACTCATAAACTTTACCTCTTTATTATTTAATATAATATTAGTATGATAAATATATGAGTACATATATAACAATGATTATTTTTTTTAGCTACTAGTAGGTATATAATGTGTTATCCAATAAATCTTATTGAAATAATACACATACATACCTATGTCTTTTCATTTTATTTTTAACATGTGTCGCTTAAAATTTGATTTCAAATGGAGTATTATGTTATTTTGTACAATGCGGAAAGAGAATTGAGGTATTAGAACCTAATAATTAGTAATAAAATCTTTATTTACGACCTAAAAATATATTTGAAACTATACCGTACGATAATTTAGGTAGGTTAGAAGCTGGAGGTATTATAATATTGCAGTGTCATTGGAACTCTTTGCTTCACTTGAACTAACAACAGAATAAAAAATAATTAAAATCTCGAAAAATATATTATCGGCGAAGTTATAGCTGATAATATTCAAGTAAAAACATATTGCACACAAATTAAAAAACAATCCTCTGTACATTGGGTGCGAAAAACGATACTATATTTATATTATATATTACTTATACGTAAATAAAATTCCAATATAAAATTAATTTATCAATAATAGGGATAAATGTGAACATATAACGTTTAAACTATTAATATGTACAACTGTTTACTAAAAATCACTTAAAAGTCATAATGAGGTGGGGTTTACTTTTTATTTTTATGAGACCAGCCTCAAAGTATAATCTAAAAAAAAAATTAAAAAAAATTATGAATCTCGACTTACGAATAGATCACGTAAAAAAGTACAGACGAATACCTCTTTTTGTAATCGGTCGAAAAATTCTCACATACACAAAACCGTTAAAATTAATACGTATATTAAAAAAGTTATTCCATACGAAATTGCCCATGTTGTAGAACAAAATTGCCACACTTTATTAGTTTGTGCCAACTGTTTCATTCCGAAATCAATCGGGCGGTAATTACTGTTGTCCATTTAATTATTACAGCTAGTTGCATTTAAACTCGTCCTAAAATGACGGTTATGCTCATTCAAATGTATGTTCTGTGGATATTTTGCATAAAACAATAATCTATATAAATAAAAATGAAACGCGAATAACTTCTTTGATTCGACTATACCAAATTGGATATTTCTTTTTTTTTGTGTTTGTTATTGTCAGGACAAGCTTTGTATAGAAGATCCGATTTAAATGTAATTCCCTTAAGGGGGTAAATATGGGGATGAGAGTTTGTATTGGGAAGCAAGCTAGGGACGAGCGAAGCGAGGTTGAGTCCCTAGTTTTAAAATTATAATTACAAGTAGTGTTTGTTGGCCTAATAGTCGAAATTTTTATTTTAGTTAAGACGGAGTAGGTTTTGTTGGGTTTTAGTGGGTAGTGCTGGCTTTACTAGACGATGAGGCCCACATAAACACCTGGATATCTACAGGTGGTATGTGTAAATACATTTCTCAACATAAAAAAATTGACTCCGAGACATTATTGAAAATTGAAGGAAAATATATTTATAGAATACTAGCATTGCCCGCGGCTCCGCCCGCGTTCAGAGGACCAAAAACCAAATTCTTAGGTTTTACATATTAGTATACTCTTATTTTGCAGTTTTTGTATTTTTTCTCATAAATGAGATATTTTTCCGCAGTAAAAAGTATTCTATATGTTGACCCGGATAACCAGCTATTACCACACTAAATTTAATCAAAATCCCTCCAATGGTTTTTCCGTGATGCTGTAACAGACAGACAGACAGACAAAAATTCTAAAAACTTATAGATTCGGCCTCTGTATCGATAATAATGTCTATTTCAATAAGATTTTCCAAAAAATATTTAATGTACAGATTCGGCTTAGTTAGAATTTCATTATATGTATAGAAAATTTACTCATTTACTTATTTATATAAAACAATTCTTCCAGTTTGGAAAATTATTTTATTGATAACACTATATAGCTCGTCAATAGCTACTAAACAAAAAAGGAAAATTAACAAACAGAGGATAAGAAGATACTGAACTGTTCTATCTTTGCCTATTTAAAATATATATGTATATAATTAAAAAGTTATATATGTTTAGTGTATCAACTATCTGGTATCCATAACACAAGCCTCGTAGCTTACCATGGAACTAGATAATGATGTGTGTTAATGTAGTAACATATTTATTTATTTATTATTTATATATACATTAGAGTAGTATTAGCAGTAATAGCTCTACTTTATTTTAGTTCTGTTAAACGATATTTAATAGCAACTATGAAATATTGATCGATTTCAAATGAAAGATTACTTTACTCATACTTTTATCGGTATGTTACGTAACACATTACCCAATCGTGCACGAAATTTAAGGATTTTTTTTAAGTGGATAGTTATTTCCAATAAATTTATAATAAAATATTTTATCATTAAGAGTGCGTCATGAGACCGCTACGAATCGGATTCAGCGGAGCGGGATGACAAGATAATGTCCTATGTGTGTGTAAGTCTCTGATAAGTGTGAAGTATAGAGTAATAGATGCTCAACATATTTAAGCACCAAAACAGTTTTAATCACAATAAATTAAATTATAATATTAATAAAATTATTAATTAAATTATATATAATAATAATTAATACAATGAAATTCGATAACTTAAGAAATACTTCTAGGCTTCCTCACAAAACAAAAACCTTACGAAAATAGTGAGCTGTAACTGAGGTAAATAACAATATGTGGGCAAAACATGTAATTTTCAAAAAAATATATTATCGAGAACATTTTCACCAATCGCGTTTTTAAATTTAGCAATTTACATAAGATATAAAAGTTTGAAGTATCATTTCCCTAAATATCAAAGTGGTAACTTTCAGAAAAATCGTAGATTTTGATATAAATAACGACGTCTAGGTACAAAGTTGCCATATGCACACCCTTAATACCTATATTCCTTGTGTGTACTACACAGTAGAATAATAATTTTTTATTGAATTTAAAATCGGTGTTTCTTTTTAGTTGAAAAGTAAATTATTCATGTTTATTTTATATATATATATATAGTACCTGGGCGACCGAGCCTTGCTCGGAGTGTTTGGCCAAAAAAAACATTAAAAAAAAACAAACTAAGAATTTGAACTACAAAAAAAAAAACAAAATTAAAAACTTTTTGTCCGACCGGGATACGAACCCAGACACCTGTGGTTGTCAAATTTGCGCATTGGCCGCTTGACCATGATGCTTATATCTGAACATGCGAAATTATCGAACATAATATTTTGCATTGGAATTATTAATTTATTGAAATAATGCAAAAGGAATCATAATAATAATAAAGCTCTATTTATTTATTCATTTATTTATTATAAATGCTTAATAACTAAATTTACATAAAAACATTTATTTAACATTATAATTTTACCTATTTGTATATAAATTTAATTTGAAAGTATGCACAGCTTTTTATAAAAGTATTCCATTAAAATTTTATTTGGTTAAAAGTATATAAGGAGCCATTTTAGTTGTACAATAAACAAAAGAAGAAAAAAAAACTAATCTAAATATTTAAATACACTTTCTTTTTAAATAAATTTAAACTATCAGAAAAAATGTCTATATGACATTGCTAAAATATAAAATTATATAATTTAGTGACTATTTATTAACTTATAATTTTTTAACTAATAATTTTGTAATCTGGAATTAAATTATTTTAAAAATCTTTAATATTATTTGAAATTATATTGTATATATATAAATTATCATTAACAAATAAATAAACAATGACAGTAAATTAAATAATTCAATTAAGTAAATACTAAACATTTCACAATAATACATATAAATAAAATTTCTTTCCATACATTAATTCTGACAATAGTTATAAATTAGGTATTTAATTTCATATTTAAATGTATTTATTTAGTAAATGTCTTTTTCATGTATAGACCCCTCTCGATTAACTCCAAAGTAGTCCTGCATAGAGCTCTCCGTTGGAGATTATGTTTGTATGATTGCAAAGGGTTTCTTTACAAATTTTGTTTCCAATATATAATTTGTTTCTGTTATGCCTATCAAGTTTATAATTTTATCTCTGTGTTCTTTTGATTTGTTGTAGGAAATACTGCTTTTAATTCTAGAAGTTTTTCTGGTGAAGATATGTATACATTTGTTCATTGTATGTCTGTTTTTCTTTGGAGGGCTATGGTCGAACTCCCCCACAGTGACCGGCCGTACTGGGGGATAAAGATGAGGAGGTTCCTACTGTGTTTAATAAACTGTATCTTGCAGTGTTGTTTTTAGTTGTTCCTGGTTATTATTTGTGTGGTTGAAAGTTAATTTTGGTTTTTGTAATATAAAGTCTTTAATATTACCAGGTATGGTTTTCTTTGTATGTTGTTTATTTGTTACTTTTTGTTTATAATTGAGATAAGGCGTTTCTGGAGATACAGGCAGACTTCTTTTATTTAATGTCTTCTTTCATTTCTAACATTTCTGTTTTCTGCTGTCTTATTTCTTGTTGCATGTTTATTAGCAACTTTTTTATGTCCTCCATCTTATGTGTGAAGTTGGAAGTAGAAAAGCTGATTGAAAAAGAGCACCAATTATACCTAGTTGAATTGCAATTTTATACCGAGTATTAGTTTTTGAGGTTATAAACTTATGTTTTAATATTTGACGCGTTCACTTCACAAATTATTTTGTTTTATTGTCATCACACACAGAAAAGATGGTTTTGCACTGATAGTATCTATATGTTATGTTTGTCACTTTTGTATTTGTTTGGTAGGTGAATTTTTAAAAGCTCATTTGTTCTTTAATACATCAAGACTTGGTGATGTTTACATATTGCCCATAGGTTTTATAATTTATTTTTAACACTTTTCTTTAGATTATTTCCACTATAATGTTTTTAAACTTGATATAAATTATAAATACGGACACGATGTAGTGTAGACAGTTGCACAGTGGCGCCTCCCACCCACCAGAAGTGACAACTGACAACTGACAATGCAAAAATTGTGAAAATGCAAAAGAAAATCGCATGAAAATTCGAAAACTCGCGTTTTTCCAGATATAAGACTAATCTAGATCGATTTATCGCCCCCGAAACCCCTTGTATGCTAAATTTCATGAAAATCGTTGGAGCCGTTTCCGAGATTCAGATTATATATTGAGAGATATATATATATATATATATATATATATATATATATATATATATATATATATATATATATATATCAGAATAGCCGTTTAAATATATAGATAAAGTATAAATGGTATGTTCAATTTAGTAGTTCGAGTTCTAATGGCTAAAAACTATATACAATTAATTGCATCACGAAATTTTGCTTTGTCCATCTCACTTTATTTCTCTCCAAATATTGAGCTTCTATTTTGGTTGTAATCCACATATTTTTTCCTTTTTTGTTTCGTCTAAGCGATCCCGTGGTCGTATAATGTTAAGGACAATTAGAATATTCAGGCTTTTTAAGTCGGCGAGTGTCACATAATATGTACTCGTACCTTTTTTGCTCGAAAGAATGCGTAGCATTTCCTCATTACAAACGTTACGATTTTATTTAATTAAATGTTCATGTTTTATTTGTGCTGTCGTAATCCTACAACTTTTGTAGACTTGCTGTTGTAACTTGTAAGGTAGGTATATAAAAGTATAAAATAAAACCTGAAAGCCTTTAAGCTATTTATACATGAAACCGGATGTTATGAAATTCTTATAATCTAAGGCTTGCGCCCTTGATTTATTTAAAGCAACGTCAGTTATCAAAGCTATTAAATATTATATAGCTTGTAATAGCCATAAAAAATTTAGTAGTGAATAAAGTACCACGTAAAATATAATCGCGTGTTTTCTTAACGCTACCACAATACTTTGTACAACAAAAGTTTGCTTATCGAAAGACGTGCTTAAAGGCAAAGAAGAGTATTATATTTTTACTACATCTTTTATCTTCGCGTATTTTGCTCTACTTAGTAAACAAAATATAGAGTAAGTCTACTTCAATCTTAGGTTTCACTTATTTATTGGAGTGCTTATTGTAGGTCTGAAATTTAACTCTACAATATCGTATATAAATATTTGCTTAATAAATCATCCGACCCTGTTCAGCATAACATTCGTTAAAGTGTTTAATAATTTTCGTCAAAGCCAGCCTTAGTTAAACAATATATTTGAAATCGTTTTTATACTGTACATTGTGCGCTAAAACTTTATACAACTTTAGTTCGTTGCCGTTTAAATTTAAGTTAAAATAATGTGAACCACAAGTTATATCTAGTCTAATAATACTTCAGTTACTTAATTTTATTATAGATGTCTGAATTATTTACATACTGAAAAATGTTAATATATTTTTTGTGTTTTAAACTGAAACTCCCATTTATTTTAAATATTTTTTGTAATTATACAAGTATGCTAAGAATTTACTTCAAGTTATAATAATCTACTTTGTACTTAATTTCATCCAAATCTGTCCAGCCGTTTCGGCGTGAAGAATAACAACTATATACACATACAAGCTTTCACATTTATAATATTTATATTGATACTAAAAATCATATATAGTATATAATACTTTCCTAGATTTACGCGAATATTTGACATCTATACATACCTACCTATAATAAAATTGTAACTAAGCCGAATCTGTACATTAAATATTTTTTGAAAAATCTTATTGAAATAGGCATTTTTATCGATAGAGAGGCCGAATCCATACTTTTTAGAATTTGTGTCTGTCTGTCTATTACCGCATCACGGAAAAACCACTAGAGGGATTTTGATGAAATTTGGTATGGTGGTAGCTGGTTATCAGAGTCAACATATAGGATACTTTTATCGCGGGAACATATCTCATTTCTGAGAAAAAATTCAAAAACTGCAATGTAAGAGTATACTAATATGTAAAACCTAAGAATTTGGTTTTTGGTTATCTGAACGCGTGCGGAGCCACGGGCAATACAAGTTTTAAATAAAACGATCTTTTCGGATTATTTCGCGGATAGATAGCAGTGTTGCTTAATATTTAAATTTTAAATAGTCCAGTCAAATAAGGTTTGAAATCAAAATTTTTCACTCAACTTTGCATTTTTGATATAATGTAGTTTTAATGATACAAAAACAATGTGTAAATGTTTTAGTGTCTACAGCTCACGGCAAGGGTTGCAAATAAAACTTTCAAAAAAGGTTTTCTCGCAATTACTTCAAAACAGTAAAAATTAGACAAAAAAGTTTTAATAAAAATATGTAGAGCTTAAAATTTTACATAAAAAAATGTATCATGACTTTTTGCTCCGGTCAAAATTAAACGAGTTATGGAGATTTTGAGACGTCTAAAACCTTAGTCTCTCCCGTGACCATAATAGCTGTAAAGCATACGAAACATCGGGAACCAAAAATCAAAATAAATCCGCAAAATAATCCGAAAAGATAGTTTTATTAAAACAAAATCATCTATATTTTATTTGTTATAGAAAATAATTCTATCTCTTGTCACCAGGTGGACGAAAGACTAACTATACCCCACGGCACAGTGAACTCGCACCGACATCACCACGGCATGCCGCTGTCTCAAACAAATTCATCTTTGATATTTCCTCTTAGCAGTCTTCAGTTATATCCGAATCAGAGCGTGATTATAACCTGCTTGAGCACGATACCGAGTTATGCGTATCTAAATGAAGGGTTTGCGGACGTCCAAAATTATACCATATCAGGTAAATGTTATCTTTTACTGAATAACAAATATTTTCATTAAGTTTAAAGCTAATATTTTGTAGAGTCTTATCTCTTGTACTATAAGTCCACTTTAAAAAGGGAAGTGATGTACAATTTTGTTTTGTGTGTTCTTTTTTTAAAAGGTTATGTTATTTGGGTGGTTCTAGATAAATTTTACGGAAACCTTCGGCTTCGGAGGGTTAAATAATTATTTTAAAGTGGTTTTGAAGTTAGTGTACCCTTTTTGTTAACAAGTAATTATAATGAAGTAAAAATTCGTGTCTTCCATGGGGAATGGTCTACGTGACATTGGCGAAATAAAAAATTAATTGTAGGTAGATCTGTTTGTGCTTATGATTTCTGGAATTACTAAGCCGAATCTCTTTTTTTTTCAATAAAAGTAAAATGTCTGAATTATTACCTACTGTTCTTATTTGGAAAGTTTCACTAAAACTAGAATAAATATGACTGCCCATTTATGCAATATAATTTGCAGGCCATATATATATATATATATATATATATATATATATATATATATATATATATATATATATATATATATATATATATATATATGACCAGCTAGAGTATTAGTAAAAGTATTAGAAAATGTGAGTTTCTCGCTTGTGGCAATTATAGTAGGGGAGCAAAAATCGACTTTAAAGTTTATGATGATTTTTGCCTCTTAGGCTTGTGCAAATCGGCAGATTATTAAATTGGACACTTTTCAGGATGTGACTAGCCTACCACACCTTAATCTGACGGTTTCAAGTATTTTTACCTTATCAAAACATTTTTTAAATATTTTAATCGGCTTCCCTAGACGTGCCCCTTTATATAGAAGACTTATATTGTGGTGAAAGTACTCAATAGAGTGCAAGGTAACCTCTTTTATGTTAATCTGCCGCGCTCGAGTAACTACAGAAAATCCCCTCTTGGGCTCCCCTACTATTACTTTTAGGGTAATACTAAAGAAATAATTGAAACGTCAAGTTTGTAATGATTTCTTGAAAATTATAAATTGTTGCTACGCATTATATTATATATATATTAGAATATTATTTAGTTATAATATTTAATAGAAAATAATGATACTACATGATCTATTATTTTACAGTTAACGTCGTTCGCATGGAACCGACACCTACGCAGTTGCCAGTAAAAATAATAAGCCCAGAAATAAACCAGTCAAGTTCTTTAATGATAAGGCATAATGTTGTACTACCATTGGTTGTTACTATTTTACGTATTATGAAAAAAATACTAGTTTAAATGTATTTTATGTTCTATTTCTAATTAAAATTGATGTTAAATATAATATTATACAAATTTTTGGTATATTAAAAAAAAACGAGCAATTTGTGTTTGGAAATGCACTCGTACACACTGCATTCTTTTGGCAGTTAAAACGATTGAATTCTGTATTTTGATTTTCATCTGTTACTCAAAATTAATCTAATTTAATTATCAAATGTAATTGATTATTATGAAAAAATCAGAAATTTTGAATGTAAACCTGTTTTTTTCACGAATTTTTAAAAGGAAATAACGTGATGTGTATTGAACATTACGCATGTACTTAACTTCAATGTAAACGGAGATAATAAATTAAATCGATTAATATCCAGAATTCAAATTACATACCGAAAATTATAATTTTATGAATAAAGTATGAGCCCAACCTGATATTATAATTACCAATTATTATAATAAGCGGTATTTCAAATTGAAATAGCGACGGTTTAATGTTATCGCACAGAACAACTAAGCATTATGCCTTTTACAGTCATCATTTAAAATTATATTGTAATTAAAATATTTTCAGTTAAAAACTTTTTCGTATTTCTAAGAAGATTTTATTTATTTAGTTTAATGTAACGAGGTTCATTCAGTATTGTTGTTTATTCTATCTTCTACGAAAGTTTATATAAAACAACTTTATTGAATTATAGAAAGATAAAAAGTGAAAAAATGAATACTGTTTATGATTATTAAAATTATGGAAATATAAATGTAGATAAAATAAAAATATCCATATAAGAAAATAGTATTAACGTGTTATCAAATAAAATTTATAAAATATTTATTGTCAAAGTCCAATAGAGCTTATAAGAATCTATTTGTCAAAATGATATGTAATAAGATCTACACGTATGCTTTGAAAAAAAAAGTTATTCAAGTTAATATTTGAGAAATGTCCTATTGGGAGAATCACCTAAGGATTGGCCAAAGAAATAATACGACTACTATATAATAAATACGCGTAGGTCTTAAAGCCTACGATTGAATGGCGAAAGAATGTGTGTTAGAAAACAGCTATTGATGTCAATGACGTACGAATAGTCTACAATTTTTTACTCCTGATTTTTTCATCCCAATAATACGTAACATGCGAAGCTTCTTCGAATCCTTTTTATATTCACTTATGTACGCAAATATGAGACTGAACTAGAAAGTTAGGTGATGTGAGACCTAATGACATTTAGAGTGACAAATTTGTTGAAATAAAAGGGCCTGCAATCATATTCTTCGTAGAACAATATCGTGGAAAAGTTAAAATAAATTAAAAAACCTTTCGAAGGTTAAAGTATATTTAATTGCACATAAATCGTGACGTAGCTAAAGACAATCATTATAGACGTAAATCAGTTACGTTTCTTTCTGGACTTAAATTGTCTTTAAAAATCTTTACATGTTTGAAATTCTACTTATTTTATTATAGATGTTTCAAATAGGTCGAGAGTATTGTATAAGAAGATTATTTTGTAGATACCATTTTTAGAGCAAGTTAGCTAAGTGTGCTAGTTTGTGTAATATTTTGGCTAACGTAAACTTTGTTGGAAGAACGTATTGGAATTATGCGTTATAAAATGGTACTTACTGGGCATGTATAAGTTGAGAATTCAAATCATTAAAAATCAATGGTTTATTGTTAGATGTGAAAATATTCCTTATTTTTCTTATAATACTTAAATAATGTAATAATTATATTATAAACTAGCGACTTACGGCTTCGCTCGGGTTCGTTCCTAGGTGATATAGAATTACTTTTTTTCAGATTTAATTTCTTAGAGATGAGATATATCTTATAAGTTGACCTGGATAACCAGCTATCATCATACTAAATCTCATCAAAATCTGTCCAGTGGTTTTCTCGTGATGCGTTCCTAGACAGAGAGAAAAATTCTAAAAACCAGAGATTCGGCCTTTATCGATAATAATAACTATTTCAATAAGATTTTCAAAAAAATATTTTATTTACAAATTCGACTCAGAAGTTTATTATATGTATAGACTAATTCCCATATTATACATATTTACATTCGTAGATCTCTTCCAGTCAACAGAAAGAGATCTCTTTGAGAGATAACGTAAGTCCACCTTTATCACGTCATTTTCTTTATATCTTCATCTAAAATTTGATTTCAAAAAAAATAATATAATAGAACAATTATTACTTGCAACTTTCATACAAAAAATAGCCTATATAATATGATACCTCAACTTATTCATGCTCAGTATACATTTAATAATGTAGTAAATGTCTGCATCTCGCTCTATTTTATTTTAAGTTATATATTATCAGATGTTGATTTAATAATACAATATTTGCGACTGCCTCGGTGGTGTAGTGGCTAGCATGTACGGCTGCACACCCGGAGGTCCTGGGTTTAATTATTGAGTCAAGTTTCAAGTCAAGAGCCAAGTTTAGTTATTGAGTCTTTCTGTATAGTAAGCCTCAGTAACAGCCCGGAGTTAGGAAGTTGGCGGTGTTTCACCCCCGTGCCTCGGAGAACACGTAATGCCGTCGGTCCTGCGCCTTAGCTCTCACTGGTCGTGTCGAGTGGTCGTCCCACCAGAGCATGTGAGTGACAGGAATACAGAGTGCACTTGTGTCTGCGCGTACACTTGTGCACTGTAATATCTCCTGTGCAGTTGGCTAGTCTCAATCAGATTGGCCGCCGTGGACGGAATCGGTCAGGAGAACATCATTTGCTATAATATTATTTAATATAGATAACACACACTTATTTAAATTGTGTAAAAAGTATAAAATCTAAGAAAAGAGTAAAAAAAATTAAATAGCCTTTACTTTCATTATTTTAAGCAAATTCTTGAAGCAATTTTAATAGATTTTTTTTAAACTAAATCACTTTACGTGCCATGAGCGAGATATATTAGAATTTATGCATATAATACGTATGGTTAGTCAAAAGCAAATCATTAGGAACAATGGTGTAACTAAAACATATCATGTTAGGGAGTGAGTAAAATGTAAAAAATAATGGTATATAAATGTTGTGAGAGTTTACTTCGAGGCAATTTAGGGCTTTTTCTTGGCCTAAGTGTAATGCTTGCTTGTCAGATTCAAAACGAACAGAATTTCAGTCACTGCTTTTTTATAATTATTTGCTGTGATAGTTGTATGAGTGTTTAAATGTTCGTATATTACAATCATAATGTGCAGGTAGAAGTTAGAAAGAATAACAAATATAGCGTAGGTATAACAAATTTTCTAAGCTTAGCAGATGATGTGTATAGCTCTTAAAATACAAAAAAGCCCCAAAAATAAACAAAGTACCAAAGTTACGAGAATATATTATAATTTATTACAGTCTTGCCCCAAAGTGTAGGCTTCCATACTTAATGAATCTTCCCATTCTTCCTTGAATTAAATTAGTGTCTTAATTCGATTAAATGTCTGCGGAGATGCTACTTTTCCATAAAGAAAATTACCAATTTCCATTAAAATACACGAAATAACAACTTCACATCCAGTTACGAGAATGAGTAAAACATGTCGTTTAAAACATGTGCTTATTAAATTTTTTGAGTGATGTGGACTAATAGGAAGTCCAATCGGAATCCGGTTTGGGAATAAAATATTGAAAACCTGAAGTTTTATGATTTTAAAATGTTAGCAGGGTTATAAGAAATAGAAATTCGTAAAATGCCCCCCTATCATATATGTATATAATTACGTAACCATTTCTATGCCAAGTCCATCGAATCTATCCCATAGAGTCAATTATTTGATTAAAAGCATACCCCCTGAGCACTTCTTTATTTCACTGTATTTAGCTAAAGATTTTTAAGTTTTACATTTCATTCATTAAAATTCCAATTGATCAGTCAATTAGCTATTTCATGACATTATTTAATTAATATTTTTATATCTTAAACATATTTAAGTCTTTTATATTTTATGTAATATGATCTATTTTAATACACAAATAAAACTGTCTATAAAATCAATTCTGAATTTAGTGCATGATGTAAAACGTCTTTAAAGCCAACATACGGGTACCAGGTAAGAAAAGTGGACCGTAACCGTTAGTAGATAACCGTGGTTACTGTCTGAAAACTGATTGATATATATATATATATATATATATATATATATATATATATATATATATGGTATTCTTTCCATTGCTATCTTCAAAAATTATTTAGATTTAGATATATAACTATAATCGCCGATCTCGCTCGTTCTATTCGGTGTAACTCACGACTCAGAAGTGATATCGCCATGATTTTATAATAACCAGGTAGTGTATAATAAATATAAAAAATCTATATGTCGGCCTCAGCTTGTGCTGTAGATAGACGTTTCACGTTAAACCAACGGCGGTGTGCCCCGACACAGCCCCACCCGATTTTTTTAAACGTTCCACGCTTTAATCCCTCCACGATCGCGGACACGCCAGCGTTACAGTTAACAATAGATTTCTTAGAAATTTTATTAATTTCTTAGAAATTTACCTGGAGGTGTTAATGTTTCATATAAATGAAAATATAATTGTAGGTATATAACCTAAGCAATGGTTATCAATATTAATTGAGATTTCATATGAACAGAAGTGCGTCATCAAAACCACAAAACCAGTAGCTACGGTAGTTGTTTACAGTATCTGCTAGAGTTAGAAAAATTAGGGACATGTTTCATTCATTAGCATCACAATTCTACAAAGATAAAATTACATTCTGGACTAAAATATTTTAGGGTTCTGAGAATCTTTAAATTATTTTTTACCTTTTATATTTATTGATTAGTTTGAAAATTATCTTACTATGAAAATATTTTACAAAAACGTTGTGATGTTATGTTGTTAGAAAAGTGTATTTAAAAAAATCTCACTATATTCTTATATTTTCAATTTAGCCACGACTCTCCTACGTAAATGTATTTAAAAGTTCCACAGATTATTTTACATAGAGTTAAACTTCTTTAGAAATAAACTAAAATCCATGTTTCCAGGAAAACT